CTTCCAGGCAGGGAGAGGGGCAGGGTCCCGCAGAGACCCGCTCCCACCCGCGTCTGGGACAGGGGTGTCCCCGCGGTACGGCTCACGCAGCTCGGGCTTGCAGCTTGCTCTAAGCCTTTTTGGCCTGGGGGGCGGCAGCTCAGCCCCATCGCTCCACAGTCCCCTTCTGCTTCTTGTCTGCAGGCGGCAGCAGGAGAGGACAGGGAGCCCCTGATGCGCTGACGGCCGACCATGTCTGGGGTGAGCGGGGCTGCCGCAGGGTAGCCGGCACTTCCCCTGCTGACATCGGGGTGACGTGTCCCCCCAGGGCCACGGCGGGGTGGAGGAGGGCTCCTGCCCAGTGGCCCTTGTCCCCAGCCAGGGCTTCGGGTGGTCCCTGGGCCTGGCCCTGATGGCTGGGGGGCGGTGGGGAGGCGGCGCTGGCTCTCCCCGCTGATGCTGCCCTCTCCCATTGCAGAAGCACTGGCCCGCCGGGACGCAGTGCGTCACCAAGCACGACCACACCAAGCCCAAGGCCCAGGAGCTGGCCTTCTGCAAGGGCGACGTGGTCACCATCATCGAGGCCGTGGAGGTGAGCCCGACGCGTGCTCGGGGGACACGCTGCCCTGGGCGGGCGTGGAGGGGACGGGACCCCAGCGCCACCAGCTGAGCGGCTGGAGCCAGTCCCCTGCCCGCCCGGTTGGGACCCCCCCTGCCTTCCCTTGCTCTGAGACCCCCTCGCCCCCAGGGCAAGGGCTGGTACCGCGCCAGGCACAACGAGACGGGGCAGGAGGGGCTGCTGGCGGCCAGCGCACTGCGGGAGCGTGGCGCCATCCGCGCCGACCCCAAGCTCAGCCTCATGCCGTGAGTACAGCGGGGAGGGGGCTGGGCGGGGGCAGCCGCCCCCGTGAGCCCCTGGGAGCTCTGACAGCGGCTGAGCCCAGTGTGCTCCCCCCCCAGCCGGGTTCAGGGTGGGCACCTGGAGGCAGAGTGGCCCGTGGCCGTGCCCTGGCGATGGAGGGATTTGCTGGGGCCAGCACCTGGCGCTAGAGACCCTCGGTTGTGCCCACCCAGCCTGGATGGACCTCCAAGGGTGGGCTCCATGTAGCTTTGGCGGGGGCTCTGCTCCCCCCGTATCACTGCTGGCGCTGGGGGAAGCCCGCTGGCACGGCCTCTCTCCCCAACGCCCCTCTCCCTAGCTGGTTCCATGGGAAGATCTCGGGCGTTGAGGCAGTGCAGGAGCTGCAGCCGCCCGAGGACGGGCTGTTTCTGGTACGTGAGTCTGTCCGACACCCTGGTGACTATGTGCTGTGCGTGAGCTTCGGCAAGGAGGTGATCCACTACCGCGTGGTGCACGAGGAGAACACGCTCAGCATCGACAGCCAGCAGTACTTCTCCAACCTCATCGACATGATCGAGGTGAGACCCCCCCCTCCCTGGGCAGTGAGCCCTGGGAGTGCTGGACGGGGGGCAAGAACCTCAGGGGGTCACACGGAGCAGTGGCACATCCCCACCCCTTTCTCCTGTGGTTTTCGCTACCTGGTGTAATTCTCCATCCCTGCCGAAGGCTCGTGGCTCCCACTCAGTTTGGGGTGCAACGGACAGATCTGGGATGCCCCAGGGACACCCTCTGCCGTCAACCAGCTGTGAGGGCAGCAGCTTCCCCCCATCCCTGTTCATTCGGTGCTTCACACAGCAGCAGGGCCTAGGGCATTTTGGAAAATGAATATCCCGGCAGCCTCTGCTACTTATGGACCCTGGATAAATTCTGAGCCCCGCCGAGGCTTTGAGGTGTTTTGCCATGTTTCTCTCCGCTCCAAGCCCTGCTCTCGCCCGCTGACACTGCAGGGCTCCCAGGCTCTTGCCCTTTCAGTGAGCTCTTCCGCAAGTTCCATCTCCACCCTGTCTCACAGCTGCTGCCCATCTCCTATCTGGAGGGTTGCACTCTCATATGTTTTCCTCATTTAGATATAACTTCTGCTTTCAGGTGGGTCCTTCCCCCTTCCAGCTGCCCTGGCCCCGCTCAATAACCCCAAGGGCCGTCCCACCACTTCCTCCCCGTTGCCTCTGCAAACCACCCTTGGCTGCTGCAGTGTCTGCCGGAGCTTCAACCCCACCGCCTGCCCTCTGGCTCACTGGCAGCACCCCACAGTGCCTGTGGTCCGTGACGATGCTTCCCTGGCTGTGCCCGGAGGGCAGCAGGCCTGAGATGGGGGCTGTCAATGGCGGCGCTGAGGGAAACACGGCATTTTGTGCTGCCTGAGCTACAGGGGCCCCGGAGCCCTCGAGGGTGGCGACAGTAGTGGGGTCCCGTGGAGCACCCTGCAGCCATTTCCCAGCTCCCTGCCCCGGGTTTTGGGGTAAGAGGTGGCACCACCACCTTACCTCTGTCTGCTCATCCCTTGGCAGCACTACATGAAGGAGCAGGGAGCCATCTGCACCAAGCTGGTGAAGCCCAAACCGAAAACTGGGATGAAGTCGGCCGAGGAGGAGTTGGCCAAAGGTAGGGGATGGCAGGAGCGGGTTTCAGTCCGGGTTTTGGGGACGAGGCAGCACGGTCCCACTGGCCGTCCCTGCTAACCTGCCCTTGTGCCTGTGCCCAGCTGGCTGGCTGCTGAACCTGCAGCACCTCGCGCTGGGAGACCGCATCGGGCAAGGAGAGTTTGGAGGTAGGTGAGAAGACGGGGTTGGAGTTTCCCCGGCCAGAGGCTTCCCCAAATGGCACCCCTTGATGTCCCCTCTCCACCACCTGGAGTGCGGGGGGTCAGGTGTGGGGCTGAGCCTGACCCCCCACGTCCTCTCCCAGACGTCTTGCAGGGTGAGTATATGGGGCAGAAGGTGGCCGTGAAGAACATCAAGTGTGATGTGACTGCCCAGGCCTTCCTTGCTGAAACGGCTGCCATGACGTGAGTGCCCCGGGGGGGGACATGGCCCAACCCTGTCCCATGGCCTGGGGGTGAGCGGGAACCCCCCTGACCCACATTCCCTGCATTTCAGGAAGGTTCGGCACAAAAACCTGGTGTGTTTGCTTGGTGTGATCCTGCACAACGGCCTCTACATTGTCATGGAGTTCATGAGCAAGGTGAGAGCATCTCGGCCCGCAGGACCCATCGCAACTCACATTTGGGGACAGAATCCCCATTTGAAGGCCAAACTGGATGGATGCCAGGTGCTGCAGCCCCCATGGGCGGCAAGGTCTCCGGGCAGCCCTGTCTCGTCGGTCCTTACGCGTTTCTCCTCCTCTGTCAGGGCAACCTGGTGAACTTCTTGCGCACGCGGGGCCGGGCACTTGTCCCGGCCCGGCAGCTCCTCCTCTTCGCTCTGTAAGTCCACCTCCCCCCCTCTGGGCTGGGGACGGGTGCTCTGTGCCCCCCCGGGCAGCGCCGGCGGGCGTGCGGTGACACTGCGCTCTGCCTTGCTTGGCCACGGCAGGGACGTGGCTCAGGGCATGGACTACCTGGAGTCCAAGAAGCTGGTGCACAGGGACCTGGCTGCCCGCAACATCCTCATCTCTGGGGAGAATGTGGCCAAAGTGAGCGATTTCGGCTTGGCCCGAGTCAATCCCAAGGGTGCGGACGCCACTTTGCTGCCTGTGAAGTGGACAGCTCCGGAGGCCCTGAAACACAACGTGAGCGGTGGGGGGGAAGGAGGGGTGGACGGGGGGCTTCTCCCAAAGCAGCTCATCCCCTTGGCTCTCCCCTGCTCGTCCCCCCTCCCGCTGACCCATCCCTGCCCCACGGTGGCTTCTGGCACATTCAGCCCTGCATCTCCCGAAATTCGGGCTCTGTCCCGACCCGCCCTCGCCCCGGTGTGTAGCGGGAACTGGGGCAGCTCCGGCGCGGTGTGGCAGGACGGACCCAGGGCCATGGGGGTGCTGGGAAGGGAGGGGGTCCACAGCGTGGGGAGCTGGGTGGCGTGGGGGGCAGATGCTGTCTCCTTTCTTGCCCTCAGGGAGGGATGGGGGCCCAGCATGGCCCCCGGCCAGCTTCAGCCTCACCTCCTCCTGTCCCTGCAGAAATTCTCCTCCAAGTCAGACGTGTGGAGCTACGGGATCCTCCTGTGGGAAACCTTCTCCTTCGGACGAGCACCCTACCCCAAGCTGGTGAGTGCCGTGCCGGGGGGTGCTGCAGGTCGCATCCTGCTCACACTGATGGGACAGGGACGTCCCACTGTCTCCTGGCCAGGGCGAGCCCTTGGCGGGGCGGGGAAGGAGGGTCCCAGCTGGCTTCTCCATCCTACCAGAGCCTGAAGGAGGTGACGGAGCTGCTGGAGCAGGGGTACCGCATGGACCCCCCCGAGGGCTGCCCGCCCTCTGTCTACACCCTGATGAAGAGTTGCTGGGAGCTGGAGCCAAGCAAGCGACCATCCTTCAAGAAACTCGTGGAGAAGCTGCAGAAGGAGCTGAAGCACCTGAGGGATGTTTAACCCCTGTCCCGCTCCCGGGACCCGTGGCTGGGGTTGGGAACAGCATGGCAAGTGGTGGCCGGCCGGCAGCGTGGACCACGCACCGCTCTCTCCTGCTGGAGATGGGGCAGCAACTGGAGGGGGGGTCCTCTCCTCCCCCAGGCCTCCCAAAGAGGAGGCAACAGCCTCCCTCCATCCTGGCACGGGTCCTTCTTCCCACCACACAGCCCACAGAATGCTCCTATGGGGTCAGTCTCCCCTGACCCGCTGGGGTAGGGAGAGCAGCCCCAAGGCGGGGGGCCGTGCCCCACAGATGGGGGGTGCTGCATGTGGGGCCCCTTTGAGCTGCCCCTCCCGGTGACAGGGGACAGGATGGGACACCTCCACTTGCTGGAGGATGAAATCCCAACCCTCACAGCCCGGCTCCAGCCACCTGGCCCCGCGTGGAGACACCGGGTGCAGCCAGCTAAACCCCACAGATTTGGGCTTTTTGATTAAAACCAAAGAAATTAATTCAACAGCTTCTTTAAACCTCTGGGCTCAAATTAGGCCTATCCCTCACTTGGGGCCTGGCAAAGCACAGAAAAAGGCCTGGGGGGGGACTAGGAGCTCCAGCCCCCAGAGCCCCCCACATGCAGCCTGGCCCCTCTCCCCTCGGGGCTTTGCACAGCTGGGGATTATTCTTTTAATCAGAGTCTGTATGGGAATTGCTTGCATATAAATTACGGGAGCGGGGCAAGTCCTCCGGCAGCGGGGAGCCCCCCAGCCCCACCGGCTCCCAAGCAATCTCGACATCTCAGTGGAGCCGGGATTAATGGGGGCACAGGGCCACGCGCGCACACGTGTGTGCTCGTGTGTATGCGCCCGCCCGCCGCCCTGTCTTCCTTCCAGTCCTTTGACCCTCGATCGGGTTTTTTCAGCTAATCCTCTCGTGTTTCCTCTGCGCTGACTTCTCGCCCCTCCAGCCCCCCCCCGTGCCAGCGTGGGTGGCTCTGGGTGCCCACGGCACAGGGCTCCCCCCAACACGATCCAGCCTTGCGGTTGCTGCCCTCCGTCGGGGCCGGTGCAAATGGGGAGGTTTTCCAGCCCGGTCCGGGAAGCGCTGGGCTCGGTGACTCCTTCCATCTCCCCATCACCCTGATGGGGCAGCACCCCACCGTTCCCCCACGCCGCTGTCCCCCCCCAAGCACCCTTGGGTGCAGCAAGCAGCACTGGAAGGTCTTTCCGCGCCGGTGGTTGTGGCTTCGCCTCCTAATGCCTTAATCCGGCGCTGATCCGCGGCGCCCCTGGGGCAGCCGGTCCTGCTGACCTTGCAGGCGCTGGCCCTGGGCAGGGACCCGGTGGCACCGGGCACCGTGGGACCCAGGCTGCCACGGACGCCCACCCATGGCCTCCTTCTTCACGAACGCCCTGAAGAGCTTTCAGGGGGGTGAGGAGGAGCCAACCAAGGGGCCCCCCAAGGATGGCAAGGCGGCCACGCTGCCCAACGGCATGTCCCGCGAGGAGTTTGAGGAGTACCAGCGGCAGCTGCTGGAGGAGAAGTAAGGCTCTGCCGGGGCTGGGGGCTCACTGGGGCCCCCCATGCTCTGGGACCAGGGTCCCACCCGCCGTGGGCTGTCCCCAGGGCGGGACAGGGAGGCAGCCGGGGCAAGGGACAGGAGCAGAGTGGGTGCCTCAGCACCTCTCCCTGCAGCACAGGAGCTCCCTGTGGGTGCTGGCACCGGGCTGGGACAAGGGGCACCCCCGGGGTGTCAGTGCCCCTGAGCAGCGGATGTCTGGTGCCAGCCCAGCACCCACGGAGCCAAGGGATGACAGGGGCCAACCTGGGGTGGCGTTAAGGTCCCACCTCCCTGGATCTGGGTGCTGAGGGGCCTCAGTGGCCCAGCACCTGAGAGCTGAGACTGCGGGAGGAGCAAGTGCCTCCAAGAGGCACCTTCGCTGAGCATCTCTTCTGGGTGCTGGTGCTGGAGGGGCAGGATGTGGCCCCTGACCCCAGATCACCCTTGCCACCCTCCTGCAGCCCTCTGCATCCCCTTCTCCGCCCGCCCCAGCCCAGGGCTGGCGTGACCTTGCCAGAGGACCGGGGAGATGCCCGGGGGGGGAGCTGGGGGTGTTCTGGCGGGCGAGGCGGGGGGTGACGGTGCGGCGCCTGCTGCTGCAGGATCGAGCGGGACAAGGCCTTTGCACAGCGGAAGGCAGAACGGGCCACTTTACGGATGCACCTGCGGGACAAGTACCACCTGGCCCAGGTAAGCACCTCGGGGGTCTTCCCCCCAAGCCCCCCCACCCTCTGGGACAGCCCCAGGCCAGGCGGCTGCCAGGCCTCCCCTGGGACGGGAGATGATTCCTGAAGAGGGCAGCAAATGGCCACTGTCTCCACCTGCACCATCCGCCGCCCCAGTGTCCACCCAGCTCGTCCGAATCTGGAACCGGACAGCCCAGCGCCCCCCCCAGCGCTCCCCAGTGCCCCCGCAGCACCCGCCTGGCCCCGAGGGACCTGTTCTCCCCCCGTTCCCCACCCCATGGCTGGCGGGTGCCGAAGTCTGCCCACAGCCTCGGCGCCGTCTCCCACCCGTGTGCAGGACGAGCGGGACGACGCTCAGCTGCATGTGGCTGGGGGATCGGTGGAGCTGCCGCAGGACCTGGCCGCCATGGTGCGCACCGAGGAGGAGGAAGATGAGGAGGAGGAGGATGGCAGCACCAGGGCCTTTGCCTTCCTCACGAAGCTGCGGGAGGTGGATCTGCCAGCGCTGCGGGACCGTGCGCTGGGCAGCGTGGAGGAGGTGAAGAAGTGCGCCCTGATGTAGCCCCGCTGCCCGCCCCGCTGGCAGGTGACACCAGCAGCACTGGGGCTCAGCCCCGGCCCCCCCCGAGCAGTGGGACGCGGGTGTTACAGGTGCCATTACCTGGATTTGGGGGTCCCAACGCATGCACCGGGGGTGGGTTTTCCTCCCCCAAACCCTGTTGCTTTTCCAGGGTGCGCTGGGCGGGTGCGGGGATGCAAGATGCCTGGGTGCTGGCCAAGCCCTCCCCTGCGGTGCCCGCAGTGGGGACCCCCCGGACAGGGGGGGCAGCGGTCCCTGACGCTCTGTCACCCCCAGGAACCAGCCCCGGGGCCTTGCGCGCTGTTTGGCTCAATAAACGTGGTGTTTGCCAGCACCAGCCTGGTCTTCCTGCTGCACCCCTCAGCCGCACGAACCCTGTCCTGGGCGGGGGCAGGACACAATGACACTGCTGCCGCAGAGCTGCCCCCACTGCCCCCACGCCAGCACCCAGCCATCACGTTCAGCCGCTGGATCTGTTCCCCTGTTCTGCAGCATCCCCCAGGCACGGCTGCACCCCAGGGGTGCGCAGCAGCCAGCAGGACCTGGTGCCCTACCGCTGGGATACCCCTTAGGGGCAGCACTGATGGGGGGGCACCCCTGAGCATCCCCTTGCCAGCACAGGCAATGAGGGTGTCCCTTTGGGCAGGGCTGGGGTGCCCCACTGCCTCTTGCCCCTCCGGAGACTTGCTCCCTGCTCCCAGGCGCTCGGCAGCGGCACCGGCTTAAATGCCACCATGCTGGTCAGCTGGGGGCTGCTGAGATCACTAATACCTGCCTATTTTAGTGAGGTCTAATCTGCCTGAGTCGCCTGTCCCCGAGGACTAAGCTAGCTGAACTCTTGCAAAATGTACCACCAGCGCTGGCCCCAGCAGCACCTCCCCTCTGCAGCAGGAGCCGCTGGGGGAGTCACGCTGTGTTTGCATGAAAGAAAGGACGCGCTGAGCCGCCTCCGTCCTCCCCACGCCGGGGCCATCTGCTCCGGAAAGGCCCGTGGGGACGGCCCTGCCCCAGGCTGCCCACAGCTCCGGTGGCGGTGCTGGGCGGGGGCGGCCGAATCCAGCACAGGTGGGGTGGGGGTCGTGCCATGGAGCTCATCACTGTCACAAGAGCCGCAGGTCTCAGCCCCCACTGGCTGAAGCACTCAGAGCTGCAGGAGCTCCAGCAAGGGGGTCCCTGGATGCATGAGGGGCTCGGTTCCCCCCGCGAGCACCCACCCCTCCAGGTACCCGTCAAGGGGCTGGTGAGTTCTGGAGCATCCCCGGGAGCGTGTGGCGTGCACGGCAGGGCTCGACACCTGGGAGCCTCCTTTGTGTTTGGTGGCCCCGCCGTGCCTGCTGTCCCCGCTGCCCCCACCGCCCCCGCCACCGCTGCCATCCCCGCTCACCAGCCTTTCTTCAGAACTCGCACGATCTCCCCTTCAGGCACAAAAAGAATCCACCTGTGTTGCGTGGGATGGGGCTGCCCATGACCCCACCGGCTCCCCAAGCCGGGTGTCCGACGGGGTGGCAGCAGCCCCAGCACCCAGCACAACCCTGTTCCCACCCCGCATGCCCACCCTCCCCAGGAGCAGCCGCTGGGATGGTGGCACCGAGGTCCCCACCGTGCCTTGTCACCCGAGGCACCTCCAGCCCCGCTCTGCCCCAGGGCCCCCCCCCGCGAGGGGCAGCCCAGCTCCCAGTGGGGCTGCACGGGGGCTGCCAGAGCCGGCCGGGATTTGGGTCAGGACCCTCCACCAAGTCTCCTCGACTAATCGTCCCGCCCCCCCGCCCTCCCCAGGCTGCCACCTGCCTCCCGCTCAGCACCCTGTTGGGTCACCCCTGCAGCCTCCCCGCCTGCCCGAGGCCTCTTAATGAACTAAAAAAGTGATAAATCCCTGGTCGAGCTGGTCACGTGAGGCCGGTGGCCCCCGGCCACCCCCCACCCCGACCCCCGCCTCCGGCCCCACCGCCCCGGTAAGCTGACGCAGCGTCTCTAAGCGTTAGCAGCTTTGCTGGCTAATAGGATTAGGGAGGTTTAAAACTGTCATTTGAGTGAACTAAACCCCCTGATACTCTGCATTGCACCTTCTTAACCAATTTGCCTTCAATTAGGGTAATTGGGAAACTAGCAAAGAAGTATAGCATTAATATTTTAAAGTGATGAAGCGATTACGGGCCTTGGACGAGGAAGCAAATCAATTTGCTATCTGCTCCTAAAAGGCAATTATAATCATTTGGCAAATAAGCCTGCTGGCCCCCCCCCGCGTGCGAGCCAACACCTTAAGGCAGTTGGTGGGGCCAGAGCTGCACACACTGCCCGGCGGGCAGCACCGAGGCCTGGCAACCGGGGAGCCCCCCTGCTCCCCAAACCAGCCCTGGCACCCCAGGGGCCTCCGGGGCTGGGGGGGCACCCCGGGGGGAAGTTGCTGAGGGCCACCGGAGCAGGGGACCCGGCTTCTGCGCCCACCGTGGTGGCTGCTGTGGGCACGAGCACCGGCCCCGGGCGAGAGGGAGCAGCAGGTCCAGGTGTGTGTTTGCATTCCTGGCCCCGCGTGTCGTCCCTGTGATCAGGGGTGTCCCCAAACCCCCTCGCAGGCAGCACCCCTCAGCGCACCCCTGCAGCAGGGGGGACCCCGGCAGTGCTATATGGCACAGGAGGGTCACCCCGTCCCCAGGGGCTCCGGGGCTGTGTCACACCATACCTGGTGTGGGGTCCTGCTGTCCCCAGGGGTGGCAGCTTGCCGTCCCCCGGTGACAGTGCCACGCTGTCCCCAGAGCAGCGTCAGACAGGGCAGGCAGAGCTGCCCAGCCCTGCTGGGAGGGATCCCGGGGTGGCCACAGGGCCCAGACTGGGCTGCAGAGGTGGCTGCGGGGTCCCGCCAGCAGCAGCCCCGGTGGGGAGGGCACCGTCCCCAGTGGGGCCAGCAGCCACCCAGCACGGGAGGCTGGGGGGGCGGTGGGTCCGAAAAAACCCCACAGTGACATTTGCCATCTGAAAGAGGAACTGTGGGGAGGGGAGGAAGGGAGTGGGAGGAAGCCGAGACGGTGGCCAGGGGCAGCGACGTCTGCAGGTGGCAGGAAGAGGTTTTGGGGAGAAAGCAAAAGTGAGCCGAGAAAGAAAAGGGCGAAATCTGCCCGGTGGGACAGGGGCGTCCGGGCAGCAGTGACCACCCAGAGCACCCCAGGATCCCCGCCGCGATGTTTCGGTTGTCCCCTGGGCTGGGGCTCCCGTGGTGGCAGAAGGAGAGGGACGGTGTCTCTGCCCCCCCAGCCTGGCTGCTGGCTCTGCCCCGCACCCCCACGGCCCTTGGGCAGCCCCCGGGGACGGTCCCCACGGCGGGGCCTCACTCTTGGTCCCCCTCTCTGGTCCCTGCCCCCCGTCCCCACGCCTGGTGTCCCAACCTGTCCCCAGGGCTGTTCAGGGTGCCTGGGCCCTACAGCTGGTCCCTACACGCAGCCTCACACCCAGACCCCACGGCGGGTCCCCAGACCCCACACCCCGTCCCCACAGCCGGTGCCCACCGCTGCCTCTCACACCCCCCGGGCACTGCAAGCAGCCACCCACGCTGTCACCAGGGCCGCCCCCCCGGCTCGCCATCCCCATCCGGGGGGGGACGACACCCACCACCGCGGCACCCCCGTCCCACCGCGGCTCGGGGTGCCTGCCCCGGACCCCATCCCTGCGGCAGAGCCTCTGCAGCCGAAGGAAATCCTCCCCCCTTCCCCCCCACCGCCCCGGCCTTTCTTCTCCGCTCCCCCTGTTTCTAATTCTTTTTCCTCGCCCGTAATGAGGGGATTACAAGGCAAACTCCAGCAGGACGCCTTTGTGGGGAGACAATCTGAGTGGGGAAGGCAGTTCGGGGCTTTGTCCGGTGCCGCCCCCCCGGACCCGTGCTGGGGGGGACATTTAGAGCAATTACTTGTCCAGAAAGTAACTGTCAATCATTCTTAAAGGGGAAGGCCTCCAATTAATAACCTCGTCCTAATCCTTTGGACTCATTTCCAATCTGCGGTGCCTTGGTGACATCTGCAACACTAAATAAAGATTCTCCTGAGCCTTAGCGCGGCGGTTCTGTGACAAATAAGAAGACTAGAGGCAACTTTGGCTGCCAAAGCTGCGAGATTGGTGAGGTTGAGCCGCTTGTTTGGTTCCCAGGAGGGACCAGCAAAGTTAAATACTCCTGGAAAAGCCAAGTTGGGCCCAGCAGGTAACACCGTTTTATTCCGATTCGGGTGGAAGCGCCGGGGGAAGGTGCTGAAAAAGGGAGCGGGTGTCCCCAGCACGTGCAGGGGACCAGGGCTGGGGCTGGCACCCTTCCCTGGGGCCGCGGGAGAGGGTGCTGGGGGCCTGTCAGCACCACTCGCACCGATTCACACCTGGGGCCGGAGGGCAGGAGCCACCCACGCTCCCCACTGCCTGTGCCGGCCGCTGCAGACAGCCCGTCCCGGGGGGCCTGAGCCTGGGGGGCCACATCCTGGCACCCCACAGGCTCCCAAAGGCAAAAAAATGGGACCCAGTGAAAGCTGGGGCTGTCCCCAGCGGTCGCGTCCCCGACTGCTGGGGAGGCCGCTTGTCCTCACTGATGCTCTGCTGCTTTCTGGCACCAGGGAGGCGATCCTTCTTTTTTTTTTTTTTTTTTTAACCCACTTCAACCAGGGTTCAGTGCTGTTGCTGTTGCCTTTTTGGGTGTCTTTAACAATAGGGACCCCCTCCCCCAGGCTGGCAGCCCCTTCAGCAAAACCACGGGTCAGGGTGTTGAGTAGGCTGGGGGTGGGGGGAAAAACCCTCCTGAGGCTTTGGGTCCTTGCGGTTCCCAGCACAGCTTTAAAGCTTATGGACTTATACCCCAAAATTCCCTCCGGGATGACGGCGGCCACAGGAGAATGTCCGACAGGACCGGGGGGGGGTGGCTCTCCCCACCGCACCCTCTCAGCGCTGCCCGTTCCTAGGCAGGATTCCTGAAACACTGGCATGAAGGCTCAGGGCTCCCGGGGCCGGTCCCGCTGGGGGCCCCTCTTCTACACCCAGTGACATCCACGAGCCCAGCCAGGCCAAAGCAGAGTGGGGTGAGGGGGTGCGGGAGGCCCTGGCCCCCCACCCCGGGGCCCGTCCCGCAGCGCCCAGCGCTGCCGCCCTGCCGCTGGGCGGGTCCTGCTGGGTTATTTTGCTTTGCTTCATTTCTGCTCCCACGCCAGGGTTTGCTCTGCTCCCACGCCAGGGTTTTTTGCTCTGCTTCCCGAGGGATTTTAGCTTCCTTTGCTTTCGGATGGGTCAGGGTGGGGGGATCGTGGGGGCTGCCCCCAGCCCCGGCTTTGACCTCCGTCACTGCCCCTCGTCCCTGTCCCCCCCTCATTGTCCCAACCCTCCTCTCCTCCCATTTACCCCACCTGGTCCCCAGCCCCACCCTGTGGCCTGTCTCACCTGTACCCCCCCCCGGCCCATCTCGCCCATTCCCATTGTCCCAGCTTCCCCCAGACCCCCCCCACCCCCCCACCCCACCTCCCTCCCGTTGCCCCGTGGGGCCGCAGATGTGACTGGGCAGCGCAGCCACGGGGCCCTGATGGGGTGTTGAGTCCCCTGGGGGGGTCCGTGCCCCAGGCGGGGGCTCTGGGGGCTCTGGGTGCTCACCCCCTCTCCCCTCTCCTTGCAGGTGCGGAGCCGCGCAAATGAGAAGTGGGTGAGTGAGAGCGGGACGGCAGAGGGGGACCCCGTCCCCTCCCCGGGTCCCCCACCCCAGGACATGCCGCAGTGACACCGCGGTGACACCGGGGCCCCTGCTCCCCCCAGCACCCACTCACCACTGCCTTGGGGCACCCTGGGGCGCAGCACCCAGCACCCCTGCCCCGACTTGTGCGTTCCCCCCCCGGGGCACCCTAAAGACTGCAGCCCCCCTGCAGCAGCAGGGCCAGACCCGGAGCCGGCCAGACCCCCCCCAGCTATAGCACAGCCTGCGAGGGGCCACAGGGTGTCTTGGGGCGCCGGCGTCCCCCCGAACCACGCACACGGACACGGGGCGCACACTGCATGCCCAGCACTGCATGTGCATGCCACGCTGCGAGCGCCGCGCGCTGCACAGACTGCACGCACAGCCCGGGCGGGCACTGCCTGCTCTGCACACGCTGTGCTGCGCCCGCAGCCCTGCACACGCTGTGCACACCCAGTGTGTGCTCCGAGCACGCTGCAGAGGCGCCGGGCACAGCACTGACACACAGGGGACACACACGGGGGGGGGGGGGAGCTGCACATGCTGTACGCCTCGACACTGCATATGCTGCACGCCTGCAGGCACAGGGTGCGCTGCACGGCCCGGAGCGTGCTGCACACTGCGCATGTGCCCCCGCTGCACGCACACACACACACACACATGCACATGCACACACGCGCACACACGCACACACATGCACACACACAGGTGCCATGTGCACACGCACACACGCACACACACAGGTGCCATGTGCACACACACACACAGGTGCCATGTGCACACACACACACACGGAGGTGCCATGTGCACACACGCACACACACACATGCACACACACACACGCACACACGTGCACATGCACACACACACACATGCACACACACAGGTGCCATGTGCACACGCACACACGCACAGGTGCCATGTGCACACACACACACAGAGGTGCCATGTGCACACACACACATGCACACGCACACACGCGCACACACATGCACATGCACACACACACACATGCACACACACAGGTGCCATGTGCACACACACACATGCACACATGCACACTTACACACACAGGTGCCATGTGCACACACGCACACACACACACAGGTGCCATGTGCACACACACACACATGCACACACACGCACACACACACACACAGGTGCCATGTGCACACACACACACAGGTGCCATGTGCACACACACACACACACACAGGTACCATGTGCACACACACACACACGCAGAGGTCCCATGTGCACACACACACAGGTGCCATGTGCACACACACACACACACACAGGTGCCACGTGCACCGCGCCGACCCTGCGTGCCCACACTGCTCGCACTGCATGCCCACAGCTACAGCGCGTGGTCGCAGGCTGCGCACGCCCCGCACGCGTTGCACGCCCTGCCCTCCTTGCACACGCACAGCACGCGCTGCGCACGTACGCGGTGCCCTGCACGCTGCAGGGGCAGGCGCTGCTTGCAGCCTGTGGACACTGCACCCTGGGCACTGCGCACTGCACGCAGTGCACGTGGTGGGCATGCAGCACAAACCGCCCTGCACACACACACACACACACACACACCTCCCTTCACACGTTCCATCCCACACCCTGCACGCCCACCCTGATGTGGGTACCCCTGCGCGCTCCTGAGCGCCCCACACCTGAGCACCCCATGCCTGCCCACGCGGGCGGGCTGCACCCCGTGCACATCCCCGCGCTAGCTCAGGCACGCACCGGCTGCAGACACGCTGCTTGCACCCACGCTACCCGCTGCACACACAGGCACTCACGGTGCACACTGTGCACACCCCCCCCACACACGTGCACAGCCGGAGCAGCACCCGACACCCACCCCCTGCAAGCCATTTATTCCCTCCCAGCATTAATTGCAGGTCCCTTTCCCTCCCCACACCCATTTGGGCATCAGCAGAATGCGGGCGCGTGGGTCTGGGCCACGCAGTTCCTTGCCCTTGGTGGAAGTGCCCCAGGATTACAGCTTTCTGCCCCATTTCTGTGTTTGCCGACATCCTCACGGTAGAAAGGGACCCTTAATCCCCAGCAAATACTGCAGGAAGATTTCAGGCCCTGGATAAAAAGCTTAAAGATGAAACATTGCAAGAGTTGAAAACGCTTATAGGCGTGCAGAAAAAGGGCTATTAGCCAGGGGACAGTGCCGGGTGGCTCTGGCGGTTCTTGGGGACCGACACCGGGTCCTCCACACGGCTCGAAGCCCGTGGGGAGAGGGGCTGGAGGCGAGGAGGAGCTGGGCAGGAGGGAGGGCGCCAGCCCGGGCTTGGTCCCCTCCATGCCAGGGCAAAGGAGGGGACAGGTCGGCCCTCAGCGGTGGCACTTCCCTAAAATCCTCCACTTTAGGTGAAGGTTAATTTTGGCTTTGGGTGGGTGCGCTGGCCTGACTGCAGCTGGCAGTGGAGCCCGGCAGGTGCTGCGCAGGGTGGCCGGGGTGCCCGTCCCCAGGACCCCTGGCACACCTCGGCCCCGGGGTAACGCCTTCGCATGGCCTGTTCCTGGGGCCGCCCCAGCCCCCCATCCGTTGGTCCATTTGTCCGTCCGTCCCCAGGCTGGGGTGGCGGGGGGGGGGCAGATCTCCCCGTGCCTCAGCTCACCCCCGTGGTCCCCTCGCAGGTGCCACCATGTTCCTGAACAAGAGTGAGGGGGACCTGGGTGAGCTGCGGAAGCCGGGGGACGGCGAGGGCGCCTCACCGGCGGCCGCTGAGGAGGAGCAGCCCAAGAAGAAGCACCGGAGGAACCGCACCACCTTCACCACGTACCAGCTGCACGAGCTGGAGCGCGCCTTCGAGAAGTCCCACTACCCGGACGTGTACAGCCGCGAGGAGCTGGCCGTGAAGGTGAACCTGCCAGAGGTCCGCGTGCAGGTAGGGAGGACTGCTGGTGGCCCCAGCACCCCAAACCCGTCCCCTGGAGAGTGGCAGAGGGGCCATCCCAGCGCTGGAGACCTTTGCTCTGCTCCCAGCTCCTCCGCTGCCGCCTCGCTCCGTGCCTCAGTTTCCCCATTGCCCGAGGCAGAAGGGGCATTTCCGCAGAGCTGGCTGCTCCTGCCAAAACCAGAGGAGGGATTTAATGGCTGAGCCTTGTTCCCTGCACAACGTCCCAGCTCAGTCCATGCCCCAGGGTCACTGTTTGGGCAGGAAGACGGTTTTTAGAGACTTTTTTCCCGCTGGTGGTGGCTGCTCCCAGCCCTCCAGCTGATCCCATGGGAAAGCAGCCAAACCTGAGCAGCTTGCGACCACTTCCAGGACTTCAGGGCTGGGAAAGCACAAGATCCTCACAGATTTGGGGGTTTTAGGCTTGCTGGAGCGAGGCAGCTGCAGGGGGGTGGCAGGGCTGGGGAGGTTTCACTCCAGGGGCTGCAGGAAAGGGCTCTGCAGGGGGAAGGTACAGCCCGGGGAAGAGCCTGGGGTCCCACTGGTCTGCTCCTCACCACCCCTGGGATCGGTGGGGCAAGAGTGGGGAGAGGGAAACAGTCAGGGAGCTGAAGAAGTGACAAACCCACTGCAAAGCAAAGCAGTAATCCCCTTACAAATGAACTGAGTTTCCCAGGCCTCAGCCCCAGTCCAAGACAACGCAGCCTTTTTCAGGGGGGGTCCAGACCATAGGGACACCTCTGCCAAGCTCTCCGAGCAGCAACCAGTTTCACAGAATCATAGAATCATTTAGGTTGAGGAAGACCTTTAAGATCATCAGGTCCAACCATTAACCCAACACTGCCAAGTCCCCCACTAACCCACGTCCTTAAGTGCTGCATCTACACGTCTTTTAAATACCTCCGGGGAGGGTGACTCCAGTTCCCTGGGCAGCCTGTTCCAATGCTTTGACAGCCCTTTCTGTGAAGAAATTTTCCCTAATCTCCAACCTAAACCTCCCCTGGCGCAACTTGAGGCCATTTCCTCTCGTCCCATTGCTTGAGAAAAGAGACCAACACCCACCTCCCTACAACCTCCTTTCAGGTAGTTGCAGAGAGCAATAAGGCCTCCCCTGAGCCTCCTTTTCTCCAGACTAAGCAGCTCCCGTTCACCCAGCTGCTCCTCAGGAGACTTGTGCTCCAGACCCCTCAGCAGCTTCGTTGCTCTTTGGGCACAAAGTTTGGAACGGTGTAGCCCAGTATCCACCACCAACTGTGACCAGTCCATGGGAGACGTCTCCTTTGCAGCCTGGATGTTCATCTTTACACCCCTTTTGCACCTCACAGCAGACGGGCGGTGCCCAGTGCTGCTGGGGGCTCTGGGGCCACGGGGGCCAGCGCCCTAATGAGCAGCTCCCACGGGCCAAGATGTCACTGCCAGCCTTGGCTCGCCGGTCCTTCGCCTGGGCTTTGGCGCAACCATGGCAGTTTGGTTTCTAAAATCTTCTACCGAGGGGCTTTTGAAGGCCAGATAACTTTATGCTGAGGACTGTGTGGATGTTTGCAGGGCCAGGGTGCACAGTCCTGTGGAGCAGTGAGGAGAGGGGCTGTGCGGGGTCGCCTCTCTCTTTGCACGCCTCGGAGAGGCCCTCAGTCTCTGAGGTTTGTGAAAGAGGTTTGACAGAGGCGCGCAGTGTGCTGGGGATTGCTGGAGCCCTGCGGGGCACCCCCCATGGGACCCAACGCACAGGGGCACCCCCCGCAGGGTAGAACACCCCATACAGGACACCCCACCTGGAACGCTCGGTGTGGGGCACCCTGCATGGGCCACAGCACAACGCAGCACCCCGCATAGGGCACGGCACAGCGGGGCACCCCGCATGGGGCATGGCACAGTGGGGCACCCCGCATGGGGCATGGCACAACGCAGCACCCCGCATGGGGCACGGCACAGTGGGGCACCCTGCATGGGCCACGGCACAACGCAGCACCCCGCATGGGGCACGGCACAGTGGGGCACCCCGCATGGGGCACGGCACATGGGACAGGCCGCGAGGGACCAGCTGGGCGTGGTGGGGCTCAGCCTGGCTCTCTCCCCACAGGTCTGGTTCCAGAACCGACGAGCCAAGTGGAGGCGACAGGAGAAGATGGAGGCCAGCTCCATGAAACTCCATGACACCCCCGTGCTTTCCTTCAACCGGCCCCCCATGGCCCCCAACGTGGGGCCCATGAGCAACTCCCTCCCGCTCGACCCATGGCTGACGTCCCCCATCTCCAGCGCCACTACGGTCCACAGCATCCCCGGCTTCATGGGACCCCCCCAGGCCTTGCAGCCCCCCTACGGCGGGCACTCCTTCCTCAACAGTCCCCCGCCGATGGCGCAGGGCGTGCAGCCCATGGCGCCCGCGCCCTACCAGTGCGGCACCACCTTTGTGGACAAGTATCCGCTGGAGGAGGTGGACCAGAGGAGCTCCAGCATCGCCTCGCTCCGCATGAAAGCCAAGGAGCACATTCAGACCATTGACAAGACCTGGCAGCCCATTTGATGAATGCTCCCCTCCGGCCGCGCCGCCCCCCAGCTCCTGCCCCCCGGCGTTGGCTCGGCCCTGGGGCAGGCGAGGGGGGTGACGGTGGGATGCTCAGCTGGCCCTGGGCAGGGATGCCGGGCTGCATCTTCCCCGCGATGGGCCAGCACCGTCAGTGGCAGGGGAGCAAGCCGGGGTGCTGGCGGGACCCCGCCACAGCAGAGCACCCCAGCAGCCACCCACAGCCCCTCTGCCTTGCTGAGGCACCGGCCCGAGCTGTGGATCTGGCCGAGGCCTGGGGGCGTCCCACCGTGCCACCAGGCCACCCACCACCCTGGCTGGACACCTCCTTTCCCCACACCCCCTCCCCCTTTTTTTTTTTTTTTTTTTAATGCTGCAGATTTAAACAAAACCGAACAGAAAAGCTCTAGTTTTGTAGGGAGTACTTGGGGGGATTTTTTTTAGCCACATTGAGGCACAACACTGGTTGTGCCAGTAGATGCGCCGTCACCAAGAAGGTGATTGTATTGTGAGTAAAGAGATAAGCTGAACGGCTGCCGCATGCTGGAGTCGGGCGCTGCCGGGGCCCTGCCCGCCGTGCCGCTCATTAGTAGCGTTGCTTGTTAACAGGCTGGGGCTGCAGAGCCTCTGCTGGGAAGGAGCTTTGTGGGGAGATGGGGGAGCATCATCCCCGCGCACCGTCCTGCCTCGCTCCCCAGGGCTGTCTGGCGTGGGGCTGGGGCCAGATCTGGGCACAGGCGACCTGATCCAGCCCTGGCCGCGGACTGGGACCAGCTCGGTGCCGCACTGCGTCCTCAGCAGCTCCTCGAGGGGCATCTGCCCTAATGGGGGTCTGCCCGGCCCCACGCTGACTGCGCAAAGCTGCCGTGACTGCGCTGAGGGGAAGGGGGGTCAGCAGTGGGACCCTCGCAGCCCTCAGCCTGGGCTAGTAAGAGGAGGGGGCTGGCTGAGGGAGCTGGGGTCCCTGCGGCGGGGCACAGCAGGGTGTGCCAAAGCCTGGTTTACACCTTGCCAGAGGTTCCTGCCGGGTGGTGGTGGCGAGGCACCACGTCCTCGGGGGTCCCCAGCCTGCCCGGGCTCGGGGTCCCGCCAGCGGCACCGGCACCCTGGCTGTGGCAGCGAGAGCCAGCACGGCCCGGGCAGGGACGGCTGAGCCCGCAGCGGCTTCGAGGGGCCGAAGCACCTCTGGGACAAAGGGACGGGGGCTCAGCCCTGGGCGAGTGGGTGACCCCGGTCCCTGGGGCGTCCTGAGGTCTCTGAGGAAGCAAGGTGAGAGCTGATCCTCCCCCCGCAAAAATGAGGTGTTCCCCCAGAAAACCTTCCCGCTTTTGGACCTGACGACGGCCGCAAACAGGGCTTTGCTGGGGCAGCCCCATCCCTGCCCAGTGTCAGCACCGCTGGCCGCAGCTCCCCCAACCCGGGGGGTCTCACCCCAACCCAGCTGGCCTGGGGCCGGGCTCTGATGTCCCCACACCCCCGGGGGCAGGCGGGACCGGCCGGAATGCCACCGGGCCGGCGAGGCACTGACCCCAGCGAGACCCTTCTCCTTGGCCCCCATCCCCCGGCTGCTGCTGCTCATCTGCTTCGTTAGTGACAATTAAACCTCTAACAAGCCATTAAACGCATAATCGATGCTCCCCTGGCTCCCCCCGCCCGACTAATGGGGCCGGGGCCCGAGGTGAAGCGGTCCGGCAGAGCCGGGCTCCGGCAGGGATATAATGAAGCAACGGCCGCGGAAGTAATGGGGTTTGCTCCGGGGGAAGGGACGCGCTCAGTGGGGGCTGCGCTTTTCACACGACATAATTGCCGAGGCTGGCGCCAGCCGGGGGCACCCCCCAGCCCCCCCAGCGCCAACAGAAGCCGGCGGGCGCAGAGCGCGGGGGGCTCGGCACCCTCCAGCCGGTCTGATCGGAGCCTAATTGGGGCGAGGGTGCTCCCCACCCGCCTCGCATCATGCACCCACCACCCCAAAGCGGGGGTGTGGAGAGCCCCCGGGATGAGGAGGCAGCTCCCCGGGTGCCTGGGGTTTGGGGGGGGGTTATGCAAATTATTGGAATTAGCTAATTTGCATGGGGTGGCACCGGTGCGCCCCGAGGCAGCGTGGTGGGGAATGTCTGTCGGGGCACCTTCCCCCCCCCCCCCGTGAGCACCCCGGTGCTGTGCTGCACTTCATGCAGAAACAGCCGATGCTTCTGGCCGGAAAAAAAAAGCGCCATTTAAATGCAGAAAAGCTGTAGGAGAACCGAGCTTCATGCCCTTCCCTCTTTATTGGTCCTTTCCCCCTGTTGAGGTGCAGCGGAGCACACCCTGCGTCGTTTGTGGACAGCGGCACGTGGAGCCACGTCGGGGGAAAAATCCAAGCAAAAAAGCATTTTTTCCCCCCTAGATCCCAATCCTGTCCTGCTCGCTGCCCGGATGGGCCCAGCACTGTCCTGCATCTGGGGCTGTGCTGGGAGGATTGGGTGCTACTGGGAGTGCTGGGGACACTGCGGTCTTCTCCCAGCCCTTTGTGGCAGAGCAGGAGCTCCCCTGCTCCCACCTCCTCTAATCCCCTCCTGTGGCATTTGCCCCCTAATCTGCTTATTTCTCTCTATTTCTCCTAGGCCTGAATGAACCCAGCCCTGTCCCGGCGCGACGCCTCGCGCCAGCTGAGCCATGGGGTCTGGGCCCTCTACCCCCCCGGGCTGCCGGGGGTGTCCTGGCACGGGGGCCTGGGATGCGGGGGTGGCACTGCCATGCCAGGGGACGGGGGGCTGCCGCCGCATGTACCCCCCGGGGTCCCAGCCGGGCCATGCAGCGAGCCCCGCACCCCCTGGCACAGGCCAGGATCGGGCTCACCCCCCGCCCGCCCCCGGCCCCTGCGCGTGTCATGTCTGTCCCCTCCAGCCCCCAGCGGGACAGACGTGGCCCCAGGAAACTGCAGTGGCGAGGGGGGGGGCATGCTGTCCCCTCTACAGAGCGTGGGAGCCGGGGACCTCAGGGCTCAGGTTCTCCTCGGGGGTGTTGACCCAGGAGCTCCCCGCCGCCCTCCAGCTCCCGGGGGGAGAGGCAGAGAGGGGGCTGCCGGGCAGCGAGGGGGAGGCCACCAGCCGCAGGTTGAGCTTGGCGATGAGCGGCTTCCCCACGCTCACCGTCCGCCTCTCCTCCACGAAGTCATCCATGCCGCGGTAGCGGTACTGCAGGCAGACGGTGAACACCAGCTCCTGCTGTGGGGGCACCGGCAGCGTGGGCACCCGTCCCGGTGCTGCGCCCACGGCCGCGCTGCACCTCCAGCCCCCGCCCGGTACAGCTCTTACCCGCAGTTTCTGCAAGCCGCAGAGCCGGCTGTAGAGGCAGCAGGAGGGGCAGCTGAGGCTCCAGGCGGGTGCCAGAGGGCTGCCCACCTCCTCCGGGCTCTCCTTGTTGGTGCACTTGAGGTCTACATCCAGCTCCTGCCACGGACAACATCCAGGCATGGAAACCACCACAGGTCCCCCCCCACCCCGCTCCCCAGCATCGCCCCAGCACAGGCTTCAGCGACCCGCTCCCACCTCGGGTATGTCGGTGAGCTTGGCCTCGCACTTGGCGATGTCCTCGGGGGCGGCCACCACGCGCGTGTAGATGATCATGATGTTGGAGAATTCGGCGGCAAAGCCCAGCTGGACGGTGACGCCACAGTCGAAGTGGAGGTGTCGGCTCTCCGGCAGGACTGGGGAGGGCACAGGAGGTGCAGGGCTGGCACCTGCAGGCGCTTGGGGCTGGAGCTGCACCCACAGGTGAGGTGACTGCTGGGGTCACCCCAGAGTGGGGACACCAACATGATGCTCCTGCCACCGGGCTGGCAGCTCTGTGCCAGCAGTTTGTCTCCCCCCGGGGTGGGAGACAGCCGGCAGGTGCCATAGACCTCTCCCTGGGACTCAGTGCTGTCTCCACCCTGGGTGCCAGCTCCGGACACGGTGGTCGTGACTCACCGTGAGCCTTGGCCCACTGCAGGTTCCTGGCAGAGGACTCGTCCCGGCCCGGGGGGCGGATGGGGTCCGTCAGAGCTCGTCTCTCTGAGAGGTTGCTGCGGAGCTCCAGTGCCTGCCGGCCCCGCGTGATCTCCAGCGTGCCCATGTCTGCAGGGAGCACGCGGGGTCAGCGGGGGCTGCCGTGGGGGTTGCTGTGCCCCGCTGCTCCCCACTCACCCTCGGCCACCTTGTCCAGCAGCACTGTGATCTTCTCGTCCTCCAGCAGCCAGCGCTTGAGGAAGGTGACGAAGATGCCGTTGGAGAGCTCGCCCTGGCTCAGCTCGTAGGCTTCGGCATCCGCACACCTGAGGGGATGGGGCAGTGGCCAGCTCCCTCATGGGCTCGGCCACTCCCCTGGGAACCGGCCTCCACCAGGGTGACATCCTGGGGGATCCAGATCCAGGCGCCCACGGCTCTACCCACGCCCATCAACCCATCCAACCACCATGCTGGGCAGAGGCGGGGGCGGCAGTGGATCCTGGGTGCCTTTGAGCCCAAATCCCTGCGCTCTAGAGGAGCTTTGGGGCTTAATCCCCTTGGGTGGCTGCCCAAAGCCGAGCAGCAGCATCACGGGCACCTCCCTGCCCAGTGAGGAACTGGGGGCTGCTGCTCACCCACCACCTCCAGCATCAACCAGACGGAGTGACACTGCCAATAGGGAGGGGGGAAAGACGTGGGTGCAAACAGGGCTGAGCCATGGTGGGGGGCTGAGCCCCAGCCCGGCTCTGAGCCAGAGATGGAGGCTCAGCCCTGCTGCCCGCGCTGGGGCGTGGTGGGGAGGGGACCCACGTGGCGTAGCCGAAGACGATGTTGGCCGTGACCTGCAGTGCTCCGACTTGTGGGATGATGTCGTCGTTGAGGTTCCTGCAAGAGAAGTGTTGCTGGGCAGAGCTGGGACGTTCCACTCCCCCCAAACTCTCCCCGAGGCACCCCAGACCCTAGAAGCTGCCCCGTGCCGCTCTGCCCACCCGTCGTGGCGTTTGCTGGCTCAGCTGGGGCAGTGACGCTTTGGGGCATCCAGACAAATCCAACAGGTTTGGATGGGACCCCAGGGATGCCCCGCTCCACTGCCCCAGGAACCAGCACCCACGGGTCCCCCTGTGCTGGGACCTCCCAGCGTGGCAGCTCGTCCCCGGGCTGGTGGCCAGGGCTGAGTCACCTCTTGCGGCACATGTCGAGCAGGAAGATGTTGAGGCCGGTGCGGCGCTGCTGCATGCTCTGTAGCACCCGCTGCACACACAGGCAGTGCGCCGAGGTGTAGGAGCTGGGTGCGTCGATGGGCACCATGAAGCTGTTGCCAAAATTTTCATAGCCGTGCCCGGCATAGTAGAGCAAACCTGCTAGGAGGGGGAGAGAGTGGGTGACAGACCTCGGCCAGCCGGTGCCCACTTCTTGCCCGGCTGCCCCCCGAAACCCCGCCAGCCCAAAACCTCCCGGTTCCCTCCTGGCTGGAGCCACCCCAGCAGGTGCCACCGTACCGTAGACGCCCTTGTCGAGGAGGAGGAGGAACTCGTTGACAGCCATCTGCATCTCGGCTTTGCACAGGTCCAGCAGCGAGACCACCTTGAAGTCGAGCTGGCAGAGGAGGGCACTGAGGGCGTGCACATCCACCATGGGTGCCTTCAGCTGCTTGTGGTGCCGGTAGTGCATGTTGCCGATCAGCAGGGCCACTTTGTCGGTGGCTGCCAGGACAGGAGAGGGAGGTGATGATGGGGCTGGAGTGGGGATGCTCCTGCTGTCCCTGCTACCTTCAGCCCGCAGAGGGGACACCCACGTGTGACCAGTGTCGCTGTCCCCAGGTACTGGGGTGCCCTGTGGCATCCCTGCCTCGCTGGTCTGCTCCCCCCAGCCTGCCGCACCCAGAGCACCTCTGGCCGAGCGGAGCCTCGTTGGGTGGCAGCAGTGACACTGGGGACAGTCGCAGCCCCACAGGGCCACCAACCCCTCCTGGGCAGGCTCTTACCATACAGCTGGCCGGGACTGCCTTGCTCCGGGGAGCCTGGAAAGAAAGAAACGCTGTGCCACGGCCCCACAGTGCCTGGGGAGCGCAGCAGACGGAGCGGCAGGGACCTGCCTGCTCGGCCCCCACCTACCTCCATCCCCCTCCTGCCAGGAGCCTCCAGAGGTGAAGAGCCGTGGGCCTGTGGCAGAGGGAGGTGTCAGGGAGCCCCGGGCACAGCAGCATCTCCTGCCATGGGCTGGAGCCCCCCAAAACCATGGGACAGCTGCGGGAGGGCTTTATGGCAGGGCAGAGCAGAGCCACGACACCCCAAAAGAGGTGGGGGGGCCGCAGAGGTTTGTCGGGGGCCCTCACCAATCTCCACATCCACTTCCTGGCTCCACAGCTCATGGAAGAGGTTGAACACGCGGCAGGAGTAGCTGCCCCGCTCGGCTGTTGTCACCAGCTTTACCTGCCAGTGGGACGGAGTGGGCAGCCGGGGTGCCGTGCCGCGCCGTGCCGCGCCGTGCCGCGCCGTGCCGCGGGTCCCACCATACCTGGAGCCGGGGTGCCTGCGCACCCTCCACGGGGCGCCGGTTCCTGAACCACTGGTACTGGGGCGGGGGGTTGCCAATGGCTCTGCACTCCAGCTCCAGCGTGTCCCCCTCGGCCAGACGGCACGGCCGTGGCTGCCGCAGGATCTGCAGGCCCGCCATGGTCGGGCAGTAACCGCTGGCTGGGGAGGGGACGGGGCAGCAAATTCAGCACCCAGCCACAGCAGGCCTCTGTGAAGCTGCTCTTGGGTCCCAGGTCCCTCACCCACAGGCCCTGGCACCCACGGGTGGCATGAGGAAGACACAGGGCACTTGGTCCCTCTGTGGGCACCGTCACCCCAGCAAGCCCAGAGACCCTGGCGGCTGAGCCGGAGCACAACATGGCAAGCGATGCCCTGCAGGAGCTGCCCCAGTGCCAGTGGGGCGAGTGATGCCCTACGGGAGCTACCCGGGGTGAGAGGTGCCCGGCGGGTGCCAGCCTGGGGACGCAGCTCTCGGGGCCCACCTGAGCTGGGGCTGCTGCTCCTCTCCACCTGGACGTGGGCCCACCTGGAGAAGGTGAAGGTGGCCCCGCAGTTCACCCGGCAGATGTACCACTCGGGCTGGCCCGGCGAGGTGGCCGTGTCGATCACCAGCTCTGGGGCTGTGGCTCCGGGCACCTATGAATCCAGGGGATCAGGGGCTTCCTCCCCCTTGTCTGGGTGCCCTCGCCATGGGCAGGGTCCGGGGGCTCTGCTCAACGTGGCACGACGAGCCTCTCACCTCCCGCTTCCCGCAGAACCACTGGTACGCGAGCCCGGGTGGGCCGGTGGCCCAGCAGGCCAGGGACACCCGCGTCCCCTCTGTCACCACCTGCGACTCTGGCTGCACCGTGATGCGGATCATGTCCTGGACTGCAGGAGAGGAGAGACCAGCTTGGGCTGGCTGAGACCCCCACCCCGCACCACCACATCCTGTCCTGTCCCACTCCCACCCACAACAACCTGTCCACTCCAATCCCGTCCCACCCCTCTGCCCTCTCCCAACCACTTCATCCTACCTTGTCACAATCAGTGCCATCCCACTCACCCCACCCCATCTCATCCCGTTCCATCTATCCCACTCCACTTTGTTCCACCCCACCCCATCCCAAGCCCATCCCATCTCCCGTCCAGGACCCCACTCCCCAGGGCAAGACCACCAGCAGAAAGAGCTGCTCCCCCTGCTTTCCTTCTGCTGAGCCCCTGTCCCCCGGTGCCCCTCTCCAGCCCCCACGGGACCCACTGCCTGTCCGTACCGGCGGTGCTGAGGACCTGGCAGGCCTGCGTGTGCCCCATCCTCTCCAGGCAGCCCAGCAGGTACTTGAGGGTGCAGTCACGCTCGGCCAGGAGCTGCAGGAGGCATTGCGTGGGGCTGCCGCGGGGCTCCAGCACTTTCAGCGAGCACGTCTCCAGCTCCTCCGCGCTGCAAGGTGCCCATGGCACTCAGTGCCGCAGTCACCTCCCTCCCAGGGAGGACAGGGACCCCTGCCAGGGTACTCGGCAGGTCCCCCAGCCCAGGCTGTGGCCACAGTGGGGTGGCCGGGGACCCGCACGCCTCTAGCTCAGCCTGCAGCAGGGCCGTGCCCACATGCATTTTGTCACCCAGCTGGGGACAAACCCACACCTCTACCTGCACTTGAAGCGTTTCTCCACCCCAGCCACCTCGGCCAGCTTGCGCCAGCCCCGGCTGGCGTTATCCAGGAGCTCGCAGAGCCGGGCCACCACCTCCTCACCCAGCGAGCCGATGGGCATGCTCCAGTCCCCCATCCTGTCCCAGCCCTGCCACCACCTGCCTGGGGACACGGAGGGGGACGAGCCATCAGCGGATGGCGGGTGACAGGCACTTGTGCCCCTCCGGACACCATCAGGCACTGCTCTGGCCAGGTGCAGGGCGGCTGGCGAGGGAGAGCACCAGCACCCCAGCATCAGGTCACCTCCCCGCAGGAGCCCAGGAGAGTTCTGGCACTGGGAACTAGCTGCCAGCAGCCAGCCAGGAATGCCACAAGTTCCCACTCCATGCCCGGAGGACAAGAGCCGTGACAGTGGCACTGGGGACCCTGCTCACTTCCTGGCCTTGGGCAAGGGGCATGGGCCCTGTTAGCCCAGCCCCAGGACAGGGTCCAAGGAATTGGAGAGAAGGGATGTCCCTGTCACCTTCCCCATCCCGTCAGGGGACACAGAGAACAGGATCCTTCAGAGAGGGCTGCGCCCAGGGACCCCTCTCCTTCTGGCTGTGGGACAGCAGCAGTCCCCTCGCCACGACTCTGGGGGTGGCTCTGGAACCAGCATGAGCCCTGCGAGGCCACCATGAGGAGCCCACAGCAGGGGTTAGGGGAGGGTACATGGGGGTCCTGGGGCTGGGACCCGCCTCAGCTCCCCTTCACCCTGGCAAAGGCTTCAGCAGCAAGGGGAGCGTGGCATGAATCACCCTGGACTGGGAGAGCACCCAGGGACGGGCTCCCTCCCCGTCCCCTCAGGTCCCTCCCCACCGCAGATGGGCACTTGTCCCCCGAACCAAGCCGGCCATGGCAGCTGGGTGACACTCGCCCGAGCAGGGGGGCTCCAAGACAAGAGAGTAGCAGCTCAGGTGCCCCCTCTGCTCACCTACTGCTGGACTTGGGGGGCTGAACGCGCTGTGGGGTGGGCAAGGGGAGGGCAGGCTGGAGGATGGGCACGGCAGGGACAGGGCACTCACCGCTGGATACAGCCTGGCCTGAGCCCCGTCAGCTCCGAGGGCGCGCACTGAGCCCCATGCAGAGGAAATGAGGATTCAACCCGCAGTCTCCCCCAGCCCCTCCCCGCGCCGCAGCACGGCACTTCTGCTTTCCTCTGCCGCTTCCTGTGCCGTGGTGCGCAGGTGCTGCAGCTGCCAACCCGGCTGCCACACCCCCTCCCTGGGCACAGACCCCCGATCCCTGCTGCGGGGTGTGGGGGGCACTGGGGATGCTGCTGGGCTGGGCCGTGGCTCCACTGCCCCTTCCTCGCTGTGGGAGGACCTTGTGGGCAGCTGCTTTGTCCCCATAACCCAACCCAAGGCCAGGCAGGAGCTGCAGGGCAGCAAGCCCAGGATGGAGATGAACCAAGGTGACGGGGGCACTCCTCAGCCGGCACAGGCAGGACTGAGACCCAGGGCAAGTTTCTGAGCTCTGCCAAGCCAGAGCCAGCCGAGGACACGCACGGACAGGGCAGCAAGACCCGGTCTTCATCGCACAGCCCAGCCAAGCCAGGACCCCAGTGTCCCAGCAGCTGCTGCTCCCCAGCTGCCAGAGGAGGAAGCAAAGGCGCAGCGCGGTGGTGGCACTGCGAGGGGCCTCCACGTCCCTCCTCACCTCACCTGCTGCCACAGCACCCAGTCCCCATCCTCCCACCCCCCAGAGCACAGGATGCTCAGCCCCCAAAGCCCCACCCCCAGGGGACACAGTGATGCCAGGGGCATCATTCCCCACCCCAAACTCACTATGCACCTACCTGCGGGTCCCTTAAGCTCCAGCCATTGCAGTACAGACCATGACAGAGCTGTGAGCAGGACCCATCTGGTGGTGTAGGCTCCCTCTACGAGTGAAAAATTGAGCTTCTGTTTTAGCACATACACCAAGAATTTGTGGCTTGTGTTGCCTCAGTTCCTCACCAAGCTGTCAGCACAAGGAGGGATCCATACCAAGCTTGCCAAGGGCCTAGGTTTGCCACAGTCTCTGTAACAGGTATCAGACTCACCAAAGATTTATTACTCATTTACAGCAAGAAGAGACCAAAAGCAGGAGCTGGACCCAGTGCCACCCACGCTGGCACTCAGGGCAGCCCCTGCACCCCAAAGCTCTGCAGCACCTACAGTTTCTTGCCCTTCTTCAGCCTGTTGCGGTGCCATGTGTTGTACTTCCGCAGGCGCCTCCAATACTCAATCGAGTTGGGGTCCATCTCCTCCAGCTTCTTGGGGGGCCCGAGGTGGACCTTAAAGAGCCTGGGGGTGAACACAGAGGGTGTGAGGCTGTGGCAGGGAGGGCAACAGGACAAGGCAATGGAAGTGTGTGACCAGGACGCGCGGATCCCTCACCCATCACATCCACAGTGCAGCCTGCTCTCCTTCCCTGGCCCTCGGGGCAGGTCTCAGGGCTGCAGAGCAGCAGCGTTCTCCTCCCAGGACAGTTCCCCGTCTCTCCTACACTCATCTGTGCCTCTAGGACGGCACTGCTGCAGGGACAGGCCCCCCAGGACAGGCCCCCTGCTGCGCACAGCGAGGGGAGCTGGGCACCACCTACCAATCAGGGTACTCGGAGTCAGGCTTCAGGGCCACCTCCGGGCCTTCCTTGAAGTAATTAACCCCCATGGCGTAGGTAGCGAGCATGGTGGGGTCGGTGCACACCTCCGGCTCCTTCAGCACCTCCTTCGGCACGTTCTTGCCCTTGGACTTCACAGCTGTGGGGACGCGGGTAGGGTCAAGCCGGCGGGTGCGGCAGGGAGACAGCTGGGGGCAGGGAGAAGGGCGGGGGCTCTGCCAGAGCAAGGGATGGAAACAAGGGCCACGGCGGGGGCCGGGGGCGAGGGACGAGGGGCACGGGCCGTGCGGAGGGGAGCTGGGGCAGAGCACGGGGACAGGGCCGGGGGCCGCAGGGCCGGGGGCCGCAGGGCCGGGGCACGGGGGACACACGGGGGGGGGACACACGGGGGGGGACACACGGGGGGGGGGACACGGACACACGGGGGACGGACACACGGGGGGGGGGACACACGGCGGGGGGGACACACACGGGGGGAGGGACACACACGGGGGGAGGGACACACACGGGGGGAGGGACACACGGGGGGGGGGGGACACAGGGGCAGGGGCCGGGGACCGGAGCTCACCCGCCTTCTTGGCGTAGCCGCGGGCCGGGCCAGGCAACACCGCCCGCATCACCCTCAGCAGCGGCGCGGCCATGGCGGGGCGCCGCGGGGCACGCTGGGAAAGCGGCGGGGCGGGGCCGGGCCGGCCCGCGCATGCGCGGCGGCAGCACCGGCACGTCCCCGCCGTTCCGGTCGGTTCCCGGGACCGGCGGTGGGTGAGTCCGCGCGGCCTCGGCCCGGGCGCCAGAGGGGAGAGCCGGCACCGGCAGGGCTGGCCCGGGCCCCCCCGGCCCGGTGCTGCGGGTCGGCCAGGCCCCGCCCCGCCCCGCCCCGCCCCGCCCCATGGAGAGCAGCATGGATTTCCAGGCGGCTGCGCCCGCCGCCCCTCAGCTCAGCGGCGACGAGGCCCCGGAGCTGCCGGCCATGGACACGGAGGAAGGGCCCGCGGAGCGGCCTGGCGCCCCTGAGCTCCGTGGGGGTGACGGGCGGCTGGAGGGGCCCCCCTTCATCGCCCCGCTCCCTGGCTGCGGCTCCGGGCAGGACCCGCCCGCCTCCGGGGGTCCGCAGAGGGCTCCGGGGCCCGGCCCGGGGCCTGCTTCAGCCTCGGACCTCAGAGCGGGTGTGGACGGGCAAACCGAGCTTTGCCGGGACTTGGGAAGAGAGATGGAAGAGGAGACGGTGACTGCGGGGCTGCAGGGCTCCACCGACTGGCAACCCAGTGCCGGGAGCACCCCTCGGGATGCGGGACACCCCCCAGCCCCAGGCAGCGGTGACCCGACGGGCATGGAGCTGGACGAGGCCCCTGAGGCTGGCGCCCACCCCGGCGGGGCTAAATGGGCCGAGGATGCAGAGGACGACCCCTCGGAGCTCCAGGGCCTTCTGGCCCAGCTCGAGACCCTTGACCCCAGCCGCGGCGACCGCTCGCCCGCCTCAGCACGGGACCCCCCACCCTCCTCCAGCGCTGGCACAGCCCCTCTGGCAAGCGAGCAGGCCCGGCAGAGCTTCGGGGAGTGTCAGGGCAAGTGCCGGCCCTGCCCGCTGCATGTGGCCATGGGCCAAGGCCTGCAGACACAGCCCTGCTGTGCCCAGCACTCAGCCTGCTCCCGGCCCTGCCACGGCCTGCTCTTTGCTGAGGCCGACCGGGAGGACTTGCTGAGCCTCCTGTGCTATGAGGGGGGGCTGCCTGAAGCCAGTGCTGAGACACCCCTAGCCCGCTCCGATGTCCTGGCTGGAAGAAACCTGGAGATGCTGCAGGCTCGGGAGGAACTGGCTGCTGTGGAGGAGCCTGAAGGGCTGGGGAGGCTGGAGAGCTTGAAGGCCGGGCCTTCTGGCAGCTGGTATTATGGAGAGGGGCTCTGCGAGGTCGACTCCGCCTGTGAGGGCAATCGGGACGGTTCCCCGGAGCCAGCCTGGGTGGCCCTGCCTCCCGCTCCAGCCCCAGAGGCAGAGCAGCCAGCCCGGGGCGGTGTGACCGTGAGTGCATCGCGCACGGGCTGCGGCGGTGCGGCAGCAAGCCAGGACGTGCCCCTTGACTCTGCTCCCTCGTGAGGTTTTGGGTGGGGGCTGAGGGCAGCCAGGGATGCCTTTTCCGCTGGTTTTACAGGGCCTCGTGCTGCTGGGGTGCCCAGACGAGACCCTCAGTACTGGCTTTGGCTCCTGCTGCCTTGAATGCAGGGGGATGCTTGGAGGGTTGTCTGATCCGTGCGTGCCCTGGGGAAGAGGCTGCTGGATTGAAACAGCCCCCCCAGCCCCAGGACCCTGCACTCCCCCTGCCTCAGAACACTGTGCCCCTCACTGTTCTGGCTCACCAGGACAGCCTGGCCTGGCCGTGGGGCAAGCAGGCTGAATCCCTGAGATCCCAGCCAGAGCCTCACCTCTTTCTTGTTGCTTTGCAGAACAGAGAACTCCCATCCTCCTGCCTGGCCTTCAAAGAGGGTGAGTTGGTTCTGTGCTTGAGCAGCAAAAGCACCCAGGAGTCCTGACCCACCACCTCCTTCTCTGACCCCGAATGTGGGGTGGCCAGTGGTCCCAGACAGGGAGGGAGCACCCGGCTCTGCACCCACACAGGGTGGGAACATGGCTGCAGACTCTGGGTGGCTCATTCCATTCCAGCGTGCCCTTCGCTGAGCAAATGGGGGTGCTTCAGGGGTCAGAGAGGGGGGAAGCTCAGGCTTGGGAAGGGAGAAAGTGGGATGGCGAGGTGTGCCTGAGGGAGGGGGAAGCAGCCCTGGGGTCAGAGTTGGCCCCACACTGATGCCAGGAGCTCATCTCCCAAGTGCTGAGCTGCTTTGCCACAAGTAGGAACACAAGTAACAGGCGGTAGGAGCTGGTACCCTCAGTTTTCAGAGGTGGGGGGGCCAGCCCCTGCTTAGTCACTCCCAATGGCCTCAGTTCCAGGCCCTTGCGACCCAGAGGATCTGCTGGATGGTGTGATTTTTGGGGCAAAGTACCTGGGCTCCACACAGCTGGTCTCGGAGAGGAACCCCCCAACCAGCGTCCGCATGGCACAGGCCCAGGAGGCGGTGGACAGGATCAAGGTGCAGGAGGGTAGGGGGGCATGACTGCCACCAGCCTGGCCCCTCCTGGGCATGGCGCAGCACTCGGGATCTCCCGGCTGTGGGGCAGGGACCCAGAGGAGTCCTGGCAGCAGCAGTGACCTCTCCTGGTCACTTCGTTCTGCAGGCACCGGAGGGGGAGTCCCAGCCCATGACGGAGGTGGATCTGTTTGTCTCCACGCAGAGGATCAAGGTGCTCACGGCTGACACGCAGGTGAGGAGGGAACAGGAGCACTTTGGGGCTGCTGAAACCTTCCCGTCTGGCCTTGGGATCTCTGCTTTGCACCCACACCAGGGGGGTGGAGCCCAAGGGTGGCCTACGGGTGAGGACACGTGTCTGGGGGGAGACGTGTCACTGCAGCCATCCCGCACAGGTGCGTCATGGCCCTCGGCTCTCTGCATGGCTGCACAAGGCTCCTTGTGCAAGCTGCACCTCGCAGGAGCTGCTGGGTTCCCAGACCAAGCTCCAGGGAACCCAGGCTTGAAATTTCTGTGGCTCTTTGCCTCAGGATTGCTTTCTACTTTATAGTAAGAGGAAATGGCTGTTTTGTCCCCCAGCATCACCCAGAGACACGGCTGAGTCCTTGATCGAGGGAGCTGTTTGTGTCTTTTAGCATAGATGTGGTTCCTGCGCAGCGTGTGCCAGGCACTTGAGCTGCATCCTGGCACAGGGGCATCTGAACCCAAACCCTTCCTGCCTGTGGCGGTGCCTGGCTGGCTCGCAGGCTGCTCACAGGCTCTGTGGGGCCAGGAAGGGCTGAAGGTCTCCGTGTCCCCTTTGCCAGGAGGCCATGATGGATCACTCCCTCCAGACCATCTCCTACATCGCCGACATCGGCTCCCTCGTGGTGCTCATGGCGCGCCGCAAGCTGCCTCGACGGTCAGAGGTGGCGGAGGAAAAGAGGCTCTACAAAATGATCTGCCACGTCTTCCACTCGGCTGACGTGAGGCGACACGCAAGTCCCTTGGGAGGGTGGCGCTGGGGTCCTGGGCTCCATCCCGCTGTAATGACCGGGCGCTCTGGGCTCCGTGCTAGGAGCTCCCCGTGAGCACGTAAAGGGGGACGGAGCCCACCTGGAGCACCCCCGCAAGAAAACGGGGGAGGACTGTCACCGTAAAGGGGCCCGGGCAGGCAGGGAAGGAGCCAGGGTGCCCTGGAGCTCCCAGGGCACGGTGCCTGTGCTGGGCTTTGCAGGGTGCTGGCAGCTCTTGGCTCCGTTTTGGGCATGAGACTGTTGGCCCTGAGCCACGGGCACGAACAAGCCCTTTCCTTCCCCAGGCTCAGATCATCGCTCAGGCCATCGGGCAGGCGTTCGGCGTGGCCTACCAGCGCTTCTTGGAGGCCAACAGCATTGACCCGAGCGAGCTGAGCCCTCGCCAGTATAGCCGTGCCCTTGAGGACCAGGAGCAATACAATACAGAGCTGACCCACTTCTCCCGGCAGGAGAACTGCAAAGATGTAAGAGCTGCTTTGGAGGGGCGGGGACAGTGTGGAGTACCCCCTGGCACCTCTGTGTCATCCCCTCCACGGCTTCCTGAGCAGCTGAGGTGCTCGCTACAAAACTGGGCCCCATCCCAGCCGGCTGTGAGCTCAGGGCAGCTGTGCTGGGGCTGGTACATCTTCCCTGTGACTCTGGTGACTGTAACTCATCTGTGCCCCCGCCCAGGTCTGCATCCGGAAGCAGAAGGGGGAGATCCTGGGCATTGCCATCGTGGAGTCGGGCTGGGGCTCCATCCTGCCCACCGTGGTCATCGCCAACCTTATGCACGGGGGCCCCGCGGAGAGGTCGGGCGAGCTGAGCATCGGGGACCGCCTCATGTCTGTCAACGGGACGAGCCTGGTGGGGCTGCCCCTCAGCACCTGCCAGAGCATCATCCGGGTGAGCCGGGGCTGCCTGGGGGGTGACAGGATCCAGCCTGAGCGCCACCGGAGTGTCTGTCATGCCGAGGTCCCCCCCGATGCTCCTGGCTTGGGGGGCCATACCCGTCCAGTGAGCTGTGACAGTCCACGCTCTGAGTGCTTGGGAGGGAGGGATGGGACAAGGCAGAGATGAAGCTGGGGACTGAACTTGCTGCGGCAGGGTGCGGGCAGGGCCCTGCCCGAGGAGGAGGGTGGGTGAGGAGGCAGGCACTTGTCCTGGAGGGAACCTCTCGCATCTTCTATTCTCTGGGGCAGGAGGGAGCTGAAAGCAAGGACAGTGTGGCCTCAGGGGCAGAGCGGGACGCCTTGCACTGGATTTTTAAGTTCTTCTCCCTCAATTTGAGCATGGCAGTATCCCGTGTGTGCCTCAGTTTCCCCACTGAAAATAGGTTGCTAACTCTCAGCCCTCCCCTGTGCAACATGGCGGTGTCGCCCCTCTCCACCACACTGAATCACTCTCCAAAGTCTGACAAAGCCCCGTCCCATCTTCCAGGAGCTGAAGCACCAGACAGAGGTGACGCTGAACATTGTGCACTGTCCTCCTGTCACCACGGCTGTCATCCGACGCCCCGACTCCAAGTACCAGCTGGGCTTCTGTGTTGAGAACGGTGTGGTGAGTGCCCCCGGGGATGGGCGTGGAGCCAGGCCGGGGTCAGCCGAGGGCTTCAGCTGCCCGAGGGACACAGGGTTCTGGCTGTGCCTGGGTGGATGAGCACAGCCCCAGCGCTCCCTGTGCCCGCCAGCGCTGCAGTTTCCCAGGGCTCTTCGCAGCTCTCCGGCAGCACTGCCGGGTGGCTCTGCCCTTCAGCCATTCGCTTTCAGGGTGCTGGTTTCTTCCTGCCTTTCTTGGTGTGACCTTAGTGACATTGTCACTGTCCCCCCATGGCGCAGCCACTCCCTGCTCTGGGCTCCGGGGTGGCTTGCTGGGAAGGCAGAGGCGCATCTCCAGGAGCAGTGGGAGTCGGTGGGTTGGGTGGGCGGCGGAGGGGGTGGCATGGCTGCATCGCACGCTGACTGGTGCTCCCAGTAGTACTGCGGACACGGTTACCCCACAGCCACACAGGAGCTGCTGACCTGGGGAAAAGCTCTGGCTCTGCAGCCCGGACTTGCGGGGAGCCCGAGCGGCTGATGGGGAGATGGGGGGAGCTGAGCTCTCCGTCAGCCAGGGGAACAAAAGCCTGTGGCCTGCCCTTGTCCTACAGCTCAGCACATCGCTCCGGTGGCAGCAGTGCAAAGCGGCATCCCTGCCCTCGATGCATGGGCTGGGGGAGACAGCACCCAAGTCCAGAGCTCTTCCCCAGAGCCTGCGTGGATGCGAGTGTTGGGGGGGTGGTTGCGCACCACCCCGGGCTGTGGGCCCAGCTCTGCTCTTAGCAGCGCTCTCTGCCCCCCAGATCTGCAGCCTGATGCGTGGGGGCATTGCAGAGAGAGGCGGCATCCGCGTGGGGCACCGCATCATTGAGATCAACGGGCAGAGCGTGGTGGCAACACCCCACGAGAAGATCATCCAGATGCTCACGCAGGCGGTCAGCGAGGTGAGCCGGGCCCGGGCTGGGTGCTGGCCAGGGCCCCCACGCCGTGGCACAGCCGCGGCCGCACGCGGAGCGGGCTGGGCTCGGGGCTTTGCACCAGCACCCTCCAGCCCGGGGTTTGGCTTCTCCCCGCTGATCTGTGTGTTCCTGCCTAGGTCCACATCAAGACCATGCCGGCCTCCACCTACCGCTTACTGACCGGGCAGGAGCAGCCTATCTTCCTCTGAGCTGCTGGGGGCCAGGCCAGAGCGAGCCCGGGGCTGCGAGGGCATGACAGGCTCTGCCTTCTGCCCCAGGACCCTCTGGTTCCCAGCACGGCCTAATCCTGCACCTCTTTGCTCTTACTCAGGACGCTGGGGGAGACTCTGGGGGCCTGATAGCCGGCTTGAGCAGTGTCAGTGCCTGTGGTGGGGGTTTGGACACCTCCTCCCCCCCTTCCATTCACCCCTCCCTGCCTCACAGTGCCTGTCCTGCTGCTTCACAGGGTCCCTTTGCCTTGTCCTGGTGCTGGCAGGAGAGGGGACCCTGCGTGAAGGGTCGCCCCATCCAGTAACCACAGACAGGACTTTTACACTCACCAAAGGTGCCTTTCCCCTGGTGGGGATGGTGCTGGCAGCACAGCTCCAGGGCTCACCCTGGCAGCACTGACCCTGCACACCGGTGTTGGGGTGCAGCTGGCACCCCTGAGGGAGAGCCAGTAGCTCCCAGACTCAGCCTTAAGGGCAGCAGCACCCTTGGCGCCTGCTCCTCCTCCCTGGCTTTGCCAGGGCCTGTCGGGGGTGCAGATGAACTCCCCGATAGACTTGTTGCACTGAGCTGGGAAACTACCTCTGCTTTTCCCTGGTGCTGCCTTTAACTGCTCTGCAGGCGCAGCCCGGCCCCAGCCCCCCAGGCCATGGGGTCGTGGCCCTCGGGGCTGTCCTCTGGCCCAGTCCCACGCCCCAGGGAGCCTGGGGTCATGAGCCTTACGGACCAGCCCCCGGTGCTGTGTCTTTTCACGTGTGGGTCTTTGGGCCTCTGTGGCCGCGGCAGTGACTTGACTGTGCCTGTGTGCTTGGTTGATGTAAGAATAAAAGTTTGGGGGAACGTGGGAGGCTGTGTTTCGGGAGCCCTGGCTGGGCTGCCCCCTGAGCCCACTGCGCCGCCAGCCCTTGGCACAGCCCCGGCTGGATTCCCATGGCACTGCCTCTCCGGGCAGGCAGGGCATCCAGCCGCAGCGGTGCCTGGGTCCCAGCAAGGCCACCTTGCTCCAGGGCTTTCCCCTCCGTGCTGCTACAGGGCACGCACAGAACAGCCCGTCCTGCTCAAAACGTCCCTTTTATTCCAGCAGCAGAGGCTGGGGCCAAAAGGGGGAAGAAGGCAGGAGGTGGTGAGGGGTACAGCAGGCTGGGGCCCCATCCAGCCTGGCCAGGTGCTGGTGCTTGGCACTACCTGGATCAGAACGTGGCCCCGGGGCGGGGGGGCTGCGGCCAGGCTGGCCCAAGGGGGATTGAGGCCAGTGGTGCCGCTACACGTCGGTAGCCGGGCCCCACTCGTAGCCTTCGTCCTGGTCTGAGTCGTCCCTGGCCCGTGTGAACCTCTTCCTTACAGCGGCGTGCTCGTATTCCCTGGGGGATGAGAAGCAGTGGTGACGGCTCTGCCAGGCAGGGCTGGCACCAACAGCTCCGCTGCCCGCCCCCAGGCTGGCCCCCCTGCCCGGGGTACCTGATGCTGTCGTAGTGCTGGCCCCGCCACTGCTGCTCGGGCACCTGTGAAAGACCAGAGGGGTGGGGGGGTCAGAGGCAGGGGCGGGACTGGTGCCCCAGCCTGGGGCTGGGCTGTGTTCTCCCCTGGGGGACCAGAGCGGGGCACGGATGCGCAGCTGGACCTGCAGCAGCTGGAAGTGACGCTGTGCCTGTGCCCCAGGGGCGAGGAATCCGGGCGCTGCGCCGCCCTGACTGCCCCCCCAGCTCCTCACGCTGGCATGCAGACACGTACCTGCTGGCTCGGGACGTGGCTTAAGGACGCTGGTGCTGGCTCGGAGGAGCGAGCCAGCCCAGGCTGGTCACAGACCTCCTCGGCCTCAGCGTCGGTGTAGGCACCCGCCTCGCCATCCGTGTCGTCGTAGTCACTGTTGGCTTGGCTGTCACAGCTCAGGTAGCCCGAGGCCGCCGCACTCGGCGGGTTCAGCAGGTCCAGACTGTCCTCCAGTGCCACCTCTGCCTGCGGGGTGGGGGTAACAGAGGCCTGCGACCCCGAGTGGGGGGGGAACGGGTTGCATGTCCCCAGCCCCTGCCCGGCTGCAGCCCCAGCAGGCTGAGCCATGCCGCGGGGATCCCGTGCCCCGTACCTGCTCCACTGCTGTCCAGACAGGCTGGCTCTGCTGCGCCCTGATGATGTCCTTGAGCGCTTCGTACCAAGCGTTGCTGCTGCCACTGAGGCTGACGGTGGCGGTGAAGAGGTGGCTGCAATACTTCTTCATCTTGCTGGCCTGGGTGTAGAGGCGCCGGGAGCTCTTCCTGGAGTCGGGCGCCAGCCACTGGCGCATGGCCTTGATGCCCTGCCGGCTCTCGGGCTCACAGAACACCACCATGGGGTAGTACTGCACGTAGTTGAGACGCTCCACAGCCGAGGGCGTGATGTCCAACAGGGCGTGCTTGTCCTGGGGCAGGACACAGCCATCAGCCCTGCCGGGGACAGGGACAGAGGCCGTGGGCTCCCCCCCCCCCCCGCCGGCTCCAAGGACACGGGAAATGTCTCTCACCTTTTCTGCGATCTGCTGCACAGCGTCCAACTTGATGACCTTGGATGATGCCCCGTCTCGGGGCACGCTCGCTGCAGGGCACAGAGATGTGAGAGGAGTTAAGGGAGATGTGGCATCTCCAGCAGCCCCAGGCTGGGTCTGGCTGTGCCTGGCCCCAGGGCTGCGTCCTTCAAGAGGGGGGGGGGCGTGCCTGGGGCCGGGCTGGTATCGTGGTGCACGGAGAGAGGGTGAATGAGTCCAGGAAGGTGTTGGGGTGTAATGGGGAGGGGATAATGAGGCAGGATGGGGACAGAGCTGGAGGTAAAGGGCTCCCAGACATCCTGGACACTGAGGGTCTGGCTGCTGGATACAATTTCCCCCCAGCGTGGGGGAAACTTACGGGCAATCTCGAACAGCTCGGGCAGCTCCGTGCTCAGCTTCTGCATGGCAATGTCTGCGATGGGGCCCAGGATCACCACTGGCCGCTTGAAGTTGGCTGTGGGGAGAAGACAGATCAGCTCGGGGAGGCCGGGGGTGAGGGCAGATCTCACAGCACCCAGGCACACAGCCCGGCTCCTCAAGGTGCCCGTAGCCCTGGGACTCACCCCGCTCCCCCCAGGAGAGCCGAGCCCACTAGCGCCCGGGGCCGATGTCCCCCGGTGGGTCTGGGCAATGTGGACACAGCCCTGGTGCCTACCTGCCTTCAGGACCACCCTCTCGTAGGGCGGGTAGCGGCCCTGCTTGGTGAGGGCACACAGGTCCTCCCGGCTCTTCCGCAGCATCTTCTTGGCCCCTCGCAGGCCCCGCAGCTTCCAAAACTCAGCCCGTGCCCCAGAGGGGTTGGCACCAGATGTGGCTTTCAGCACCGACTCCAGGCTGGCGATCTGCTCAGCCCTGGGAAGGGAAAGGGCTCGGGACCTGGAGCCTCCAGATTTACACTTGGCTTTGTCTCCCCGGGCTCCGAGAAGTGGGGCAGGAGAAGCCAGTGTCCCCACGCAGTGGCAGGGCCAGATGGGGCTGTGGCAGCCGCTTCCCTCTGGGACCTTGGACAACCAGAGCATCGACTGTCCCACCACCCCCGGGAAGCTCATGGTTCCCGCTGCTGCTCCACCAGCCCTTGCCCTGCCTCTTACTGGGCCCACCATTTCACATCCCCGTCTCACTGGGGAGCCATCCCCTGGTTCAGCTCATCTTGGGGCCATTCCTGGCTTCATCCCTACCTCTTCTGGTTGGGGATGATGCCCTTGTCCTGCTCCTGCAGGTCCCTGCCCATGCGCACAGCCAGCCAGCTCCCCAGTCTGCCCCGGTACATGGTGTCCAGCACGTGGAAGACGTCCCCACGGATGAAGCTGAGCCCTGAAGGTGTGTCCTTCTCAAAGTCAAAGTGTGTCCGGATATAGAATGAGTCACCCATGTTGGACGAGATCATCTTCCTGTAAACTGGAGCCCATGGTGAGAGGGACCATCAGGGGAAGAGGGGGCTGAGGAGGAAGATGCTGGAAAGGAACATGCTTGGAGGGATCTGGGAAGGATCTAGGCTGGCCAGGAGCCTCCACGGTAGTCTTTGCTGATAAGGAGGGTGTTGGGGACACCTCTTCCTCCCATGGTTCTCCCAGGCATGCTGGGGACAGCAGGACCTGACCCCCCCAGCACACCCTGGGCTCTCCAGGCTGAGCCATGGTGCCCGAAAGCCCCAGCGCTCCAGGATGCTGAGGCACAAATGGGGCAGGGATGGTCTGGTCCCCTCCCATCACCTCTCTGGAGGAGGAGGAGGAGTGGGGTGTGGGGAAAAAGGATCACCCTGTGAGGACAGAAAGGGCCATGGAAAGTCCAGCAGCTCTAATGCTTGCTCAGAAGAGACAGAGGATGGAGAGGCACAAGCCCAGGATGAATCTGGTCATCACTCACTGTCCTGATTGTTCTGGGTCCACAGTGTGATGTCCTCCCCCAGCGGCAGGCTCATGAGATACTCCACAGCCTCCTCGCGGGTCAGGTTCTGGAAACTGGTGTCATTCACCTGCCAAGGAAGAGCACTGAGGCACGGCCCCGCCAGTGAGATGGAGGGCGTGGGTACCAGCAGGGACCCCACGGACAGCACTGCCCAGGGCAGGGTGGGGAGAGGGAACTGGTCCCTGTCACCCAAGTGTCTGCCACAAGCCCTAGTATCCCCGGGGACGGCCTCTGGGCCAGCTGAGGTGATGCCCAGACCCCACTGTGTGTTAGCATGGTGCTGGAGACAGGACTGTCCCCTTGGACAGTGCCCACAGCGCCAGCCCAATGGGTACGGGCCACGGGCACCAGCACTGACCCAAAACGATGCCCAGGAAGAGAAATCCAAACCCTGGGGAGGTATCAGACCCAAGTCTGGGTGCAGCAGCATTCAGAGCCATTCCCAGCCCTGGGTACCTGCAGGATCTGGTCCCCTTCCTGGACACCCTGGCTGTCGGCTGGGCCCCCTTCCTGCACGCTCGACACGAAGATGCCCACATCGTTCCCGCCAGCCAGCCGTAGCCCAACGCTCTTGCCCTTCACGAAACGCACGACCCTGGAGTTGGAGACGTGCCTGCCACAGGAGAAGCCGCTGTCAGCCTGGCAGCGACATGCTGGGGACAGCACAGGGGGTCACCAGCCCCGGGACCCCAACCCTGCACAGGAGCAGCTCCCCGTCCGGCCCAGCCATTCCCCACCGCCTCTCGCAGACGCACCCGTCCTTGTGGGCAGCCCGGGCAGCGGGGCCGGCGCGGGGGCCGTGGCAGCCATCCCCCTCCACAGCTTCCAGCAGGTCTGCAGGGAGGGAGAACTGGTCCATGAGGCGGCCGTGGCTGCGCCGCTGCTGGGGCAGCCAAGGAATAGGGAGAACCAGGGAGAACCACGGGGTTCGGACAGGGGAGACGTGCAGGGGCCCAGGACCCACTCAGTGCCCCGAGCTCCCCCAGCCCGATCTGAGGTCACTCACCAGGGCCCTGAGCACTGTCAGTGACTGTGTTGGCTGGAGGGTCCCTGTTCGATCGCCTCCTCTCCCTGGAACAAAGTTGGGGCAGAATTTAGGCAGGTCTTGGCGGCAGGAGCTGGATGAGCACGGGCAGGCAGTGCCAAGTGGGCAGTGGGGACAGCGGAGCAAGCTGAGGACCAAACAGCAGTCCCACCTCCAGGGTGAACTAGCTCTGAGCTGGAGGAGAACCAGCCCCTCCAGCTAGGCAGAGAACACAGGGGCATCCGATGGGGGAAAGAGGGGCTCATGGGCCCGGAGCGGGGCTTACGGTGGTGAATCCATCCTGGCAGCAGCTGGAGGTTGCAGGGAGGTCTCAGGGGATGGCGGGTGGGACAGTTCAGTGTCGATGTCGGAGATATCTGCAGCAACAGGAGGGAAGGCACATCAGTGACCATCCAGTCCCTGTGCTGCGTATTTGGCCCCTGGCCCCGTCACCGTGTTCCCTCACCATCCATCCGGGAGCTGTCACTCTGGCTGTCTTCTATGTCGGGGATGTTGACCAGGAACTGCCGGTGATCCCGGAGGATGAGCAGAGTCAGGGTCCCCTCCGCCCGCTCGATGAGCTGCTGGGTGTCAGCCAGGGACATGTCCTCACTGGCCACCCCGTTGATCTGGAGGGGGCAGAGCGGGGGCCCTCAGGGCACTCACTCCCAGGAAAGTCACCACCAGGAAAGCCCCGATCCAACGGGATGCTCCAACTGCTGCTTCCCCCGTCCCTTCCCAGCCCCTGCAGCCCAGCCCCAGCTCCCGCAGCTTCACCTATCCTGGGCCACATCCCAGTTCCTGGCTGCTTCCCAGCAGGACCTCATCCTGCAGAGAGGAAACAAATTATTGAGGCTAATTAACCGACACCGTTAGCTGCCAGGGGGCCCTGCACAGAGGCCGGAGCTGCAGAGACCTGCTCAGATACCCAAAGCTCAGTTTTGCTTTGACCTTGGCCCAGCGCTGTCCCTCCACACACTGGACTGGGCTGGGGAGTCAGGCCCAAAGCAAACCGTGGGTCTATGATCTCCCCAAGGTGCAACAGCTTTTCCCACCACATTGCTGGGATGAAATCCCTCCTCTTTGCCCCGGAGTCGCTTTGGCCCCGCTTCCCAGCGGCCACGGCTCTGCCTGGCCCACGTGTGAAAAACCTCCCTCCCTTGATTTCCTCTTCCCCAGACTGTTTCACCTGACGTACCCTGAACACCTGAGCTCCCCCAGAGGGGACGCGCACACGCAGCAGCACACCACGTGCTGTGGGGACAGTGGGGCAGATGTGATCCCGCTGTGGGGACAGTGGGGCAGATGTGATCCCGCTGTGGGGACAGTGGGGCAGATGTGATCCCACTGTGGCAGCGGGACAAGCAACCATCCCTGGATGAACAGCGCGGGGCTGCCTCAGCCAGCCAGCCCCGGCATCGCGGGGAGCTGGTCCCTGAGAGCCCACGCGGGGCCCCTGGTGATGGCTGGGGAGCAGGGCAGGGCGCGGGCACCAGCCGGAGCTGCCTCCAGCCAAGCTGCCATCCTCTGCGGGTGGTGACACTAGCCAGGGACGAGCCACCCGAAGAGGCAGGAGACGAGATCCCCAGCGAGCGCTGTGTGCCCCGTACCTTCAGGATGAGGTCTCCCTCCTGCAAGGAGCTGCCCTTCGCTGCCAGCCCGCTCTCCACTATGTGCTTGATGAAGAGCTGACTTCCCAGCTTCAGGCCATACTCTGCACCAGAGAGAGACTATGACAGTGCCAGAGCCAGGCAGATGCAGGACCCCCTCGAGGTCCCCCCTCACCACCATCCCCACAAGCCTACCTCGTCTCCTTTTGGGGCACTAGCAAGCCCCAAAGCTGAGCTCTGCAAGCTCAGGCTGAGGCCAGGCGGGTTTGGTGCACCCAGCACGGCATACGCTGTCCCCCTCGCCGCATGCCAGAGCCTGGCACCAACCCTGTCCCTGCCTCCTCCCCAGGGGGACGCATGGCCACAAGCCGAGCGACGAGACCCAGGGACAGAGAGGGCGGGAGGACCTCACCTTCATTTTGCTTCTGCTTCACCAGGACTGATGTGATGGGCTTCATCAGCACATCCCGGCGCGGCAGCCGCTTGAAGCCCGACACCAGGACCAGCCCGTTGGTGTCCCCTTCATGGCTGAAGCTGTTGGCAGAGCGGTGCCGGCTGTGGCCCCTCCGATCTGAGCCACTGCCCGGGCTCTGCCTCCAGTGGCTGCTGTCCTGGCTTCGCCTCCAGCTCCGGGATGCTGCCTTGTGGTGGCGGTGGTCATCCCGGTGGTGGCCGGAGCTTCTCTCGCTGGATGAGTCCCCGTCGTAGCCCTGGCTGTGGTCAAGGTCATCCCGGGACCGGTGCAAGGCCGGATCCCCACCGTGTGACCTGTGGTCCTCATCCGAGTCGTAGCGCTGGGGCGCAGTGGGGGACCCGGGGCTGCTCTTGCTCACAGGGAGGTGGACCTTCTTTGGTCTTTTTAGTGTCTGCAGGTGGAAAGTGAGAACAAGAGGATGGTGGCTGCAGTTGTCTCTGCCAGGAGATGTTTCTACAGCAATTTCCAAGCCCTAAGCAGGAGCTCGGGGGTGTGTGGGACAGGGGAGCTTGGACGGGGACCAGCACGGGGCGGTCCCGTGCATGACACCAGCCCCCATCTCGCCACGGGGCACACTCACAATGTTGGCGATCTTGCCGCAGGTTTTGAGTGTCTGGATGGCAAAGGAGGACGAGGCGTTCTCCATGGAAAGGCCATTCACCATCACGATGTGATCCTTCCTCCTGGGACGGAAAACACAGCCGTGGCCCTGCCCCCGGTGCAGCCCCCAGCTGCGGGAGCTGGCAGGGCGGGAAGGGCGCTCGTTGCCCCGGAGGGACCGGGGTGGCAGCGGTGCCGGCCCTGTCCCTGCAGAAGCGACTCGCTGCCCTCCCTGTCCCCACTGGCAGCAAGCACCCCCTCCGCGTCCCCACGTCCCCGCACACTCACTGCAGGCGGCCCACCGCCGGTCCCCCAGACACCACATCCGCCACGACCAGCGCCGTGTCTCCGGTCGCCCTGTTGGGACGGTCCCGGCCTCCGGCGACAGCGAAGCCAAAGCCCCGTTGAGGGTCCTGGTGGGGACAGGCGGAAAGGGGTCAGGTGGAGCTGGCCCCCCGGACCCCGTCCCCTCCTGCAGCCACCCTGGGCTGCGCTCACCTTGCTCAGTGTCACCGTGTGCTGCTCCCAGATCAGCATCTCCTCCATGGTGGCCACCCGCCAGCGCAAGCGAGGGAGGGCGGCCGTGGCAGCCGGCCGGCGCGGCAGCCCCTGGCTGGTGGCTGGGGGCACGGACTGGCTCCGGCTCCTCTGTGCAGCCACTGACCCCTTCCCCAATCCCACTTCAGGCTACAACGAAGAGCAGAAGCAGTGCTGAGCCACAGACACCAGGGATCGTGCGGGTGCAGGGGACAGAGCTCCCCGGGGCGCCTGGGCACCCACCAGCTGTGTCACATCCCCGCTAACCCCATGTGGGAGCCGGCTCCGAACTCCAGAGCTGCCTCAGTGCAGCGTGAGATCACCCCCTCGGGAGGTCCAGCTCGGTCCCCTCACACGTGTGTGCACAGAAGGGGAGGTTTTGCGCAGGGCAAGCAGGTCAGGACCCATCTCCACAGCTGGCACCACGTCATCCTCATGGTCCCAGTTCCCTCTCTCTTCCCAGGAGCTGGCAGACCCCAGGGTGCTGCTTCAGACGGTGCCTCAGTGCCCCCCTGCCCTCCTGCTCTGGGCTCGGTGTGACAGCAGAGCCAGCAGCTCTGTCAACCACTTCAGGAGCACCAGTGCTCCGGCTTCACCCTTTGGTTTCCCTGGGTTTTCCCCAAATCCAGTGTTTTCCACCTAGGACAGACAAGCCTGACTGACAGGGTGAGGCCCCATCCAGGCTGAAACCCCCGGCATGGACCCCAAGATCCCCTCCACCAGCTCCTGGCTCCCCAGAGGAACCGGCGTGAACGGGGTCCCTGCATGGGGTGGGGGACACGGGCTCAGAGTGTCCCACAACCTCCCAGCGGGTGGGACGGGAAGGAGCCAGGTGAAGCAGGAGGGACTCAAAGGGACCAAGTTTATTCGTGCCACTGCACGTGCCAAGGAAACCCCAGTGAGACCACCAGGTGATTCTCCAGGGTGCTGGAGCAGGAAAGCCAACAGCCCGGCGTGATGCCACCACCACTACCAGATCCTCCCCGCCCTGACCGGCGCCGGGACCGGGGAGGACAGACCCCCACCCACCGCCTGCCCACGCCAGCCCAGAGCCCAGAGCCGGGGGGAGGTGGGACACTTGCCCCCCACCAGCCAGGCTGCCCCGGGATGGCGCATCCCGCTCTGGCCCCAGGCCCTGCGGGGCTGCCAGCGCCTGTCCTGGTCTCACCTGTGGCACAGCCTGGGCACGGCACAGCCCGGGCACGGGCATGGGCACGGCACAGCCTGGGCACGGGCATGGGCACGGCACAGCACCGGCACGGCACAGCACCGGCATGGCACAGCACCGGCACAGCACAGCACCGGCACGGGCATGGGCACGGCACAGCCCAGGCACGGGCACAGGCACAGCACAGCACCGGCACAGCACAACACCGGCACAGCACTGGCACAGTACAGCACCAGCACGGCACAGCACTGGCACAGCACAGCACCGGCACGGCACAGCACCGGCACGGGCATGGGCACGGCACAGCCCGGGCACGGGCACAGGCACAGCACAGCACCGGCACAGCACAACACCGGCACAGCACTGGCACAGTACAGCACCAGCACGGCACAGCACTGGCACAGTACAGCACCGGCACGGCACAGCACTGGCACAGCACAGCACCGGCACGGCACAGCCCGGGCGCGGGCACGGGAACGGCGTGGCCCTGGCACAACAGGCTGTGGACACGCCGGCACTGCCGGGTCTGGCATCAGGCACCCTTGTGCCGCCACTGAGGACTGGCCAGCAGCCGACGGGGAGATCTCCCCGTGGCCATCAGAAACAAGCGCTGACACCCCGCGGGCAACGCCCGAAGCGACGCGGAGCCGGGGTCCCACGGGGAAGCTGGGGTCAGTGGTGGGCAAACAGCCCTGGGGCAAGCATGGTGGCTCTACGCCAGCACGGGGGCTTTCCGTGGCCAGGCCCCCCAAAATGAGACCCAGTCCATGGCGGCCCCGGGGAGGGACGGTGTAATCATTCACCCATGGCTCAGAAATAGCCCCAGCCAGCCAGGCTGCAAGCCGGTGAGTGCGGAGGGCAGAGTCCAGGTTTCCACTCTGCATCACGAGCTGCCGAAACCAGCCCAAGCGCCCACCCGGCCCCCGCCGGCGCTCGACGTGTGGGTGGCCGGGGCTGAGCAGGACCCTGGTGTGCTGGCACCCGCTGTCCTTTCCCAGTACTTGTAAGGCTGGTAATAACCAGGAGACCCCAGCAGGGTGGGGGGGTGGTCTCCTGCCGGATCAGTGCGCTGAACGGGGGGGTCCCATCTCAGCCATGTCACCAGTGTCAGCTGGTCAGAGCTTATGGGCTCCCTGGGTGCCTGCGGGTGACACGGTGTGAGCCACAGGTCCTTACGGACCCCAATTGTGGGGCAGCCAGAGCATTCCCCTCCCCGGGGCGACAGCTCATCTGCTGTGCCGGAGCCGACCTCGCTACCACCCAACACAGCCTCTCGCCGTCCCCTGTCAGCTCCCATCACCGGGACACCACAAACCAGATGCACACCTGCGTCCTGCTGCCACCCATGGCTCTTCAGGACGGAGGGGTGGGGGACAGAGCATGGGGCCGGCAGCAGCTCCCGTCTCACCAGCACAGGTGACGCTGCTGGACCCCCATCCTGACCCCCGCTGAACCCCCGTCCCGTCCCCCTTCTCCCCTCAGAGACCTGGTGTAGGGCCCGGCCAAGGCCAAGGCCGAGGCTGGCAGCCGGAGGAGCCGGCTTGGCCGGTTTCCGACAGAAACCAACCAGCCCGCACCCGAAATGGCCCCGCCGGGAGAGGCAGTATCTGGGCAGAGCTGACCGCGGCCCAGCCCAACGTGCCCGGCACCTCGTGCTGGCAGCACGGGGAGCCCCACACGCCCCACTCTGCCCCACGCACACACCATGCCCGGCATCTCCCAGGTTTTTCAATGCCAAATGAAGCCCGGGCTGCATCAAGGCGGCTCGTCCCATTACAAGGTCCCTGATTCAGGGCTGTGCCTGGCCCCGCGTGACACCACCGGCAATGCCCACCGTGGGGACAGCAAGGGGTGGGGAGGTTATTTATCCAAAAGTGATGTACCCTGCCCACCCCAGCCTTGCCCCATGGCCAGCCCCACCACCCATAACCTGTTTCCCAACTCCCCCACTGATGGGGGTCCTCAATCTGGGACCCCGAAGCTTTCGCAGGACCAGTGGGGTTCCTGGTCTCAGCCAGTGCTGCAAAACTGCCCGTCTCTTGTCTGGTCCTGGCCGTGCAGGACTGGGGTCCCAGATCCCCCCAGAAGCTCCTCTAACCCCGCCCCACCCACATCGCGATGGGCTGATCCTGACCCCCTGCTCCAGGAAAAGTCTCTGGAAAGTCTGACCCACCCAGGGTGTAAATCAATAGGATGGGGGCACATTCTCCAGCCCTGGGGGAACAGATCTGTGACGGCAGGGTCCCAGGATCCCCCCCCCCCCTCCCCGGGGTCTCTCTCTGCCATTGGGGCAGGACTCCAGGAGGGTCACTGGGTCCCGCAGCCACCCAGAATGGGACAAAGCATGGCCAGTTCCCCAGGTGAAAGCACGGGTGGGTGCCCATCCCCAGCTGGGAAGCAGGGCCAGCAGCAGATCCCGGGGGACAGGGTTAGGCACTCACCAAGCCTCCGATCCGACCAGGAAGGAGCTGAGCTCTGGGGCTGGTGGCAGTGGTGTCACTCCAGATTGCCTTGTGTAACCCTTTGTGGGCCAGACGCTGCCTGCAGGAGGGAGGGAGGAAGAAGGGGGTCCTGGAGCAGCTTCCTGGGCACAGGTGGAGGCACAGGGGCTGTCCCTGTTGTCCTCCATGGTGCTGGGGGTTCAGCCACGTCCATTCGGCCCCCACCCAGCCCTGGCTCACAGGATGCTGTTTGTGGCAGTGCCTGGGGACAGGGGTCCTCCACCCTCTCCCGCTCCCCCCCCCCCCCCCCCGCCCCAGCCTTGCCCTCTCCAAGGAGGTCAGGGGGCTCTGTGCCAACTCGCACCACCCTGGACCCCTAAACCCTCCCAGCAGCCCTGCTCGGGAGTCCCTGGGGGCACCAAATGTCTTCACCCAGCGCCCCAAGAGGGGACGGGGATGGTGGCCAGCCTGGGGCTTCAGGTCCTGGGCAGGGTGTGGAGGAAAAGGTGCCCCTGTTGATGGCTGCCATCCCCTCTCCTTCCCTCCCCTTCCCCTCTCCTCTGCCCCCCACCTGGGGAGCAGCCCCCCGTCATTCCCCTCTCCACGGGGTCGCTTTCCTGCAGTGACAGAAATCAGCTTCACGCCCTGGCTCTCCGTCCAGGCTGCTGCTTCCAGCCGGGCTCGGTACCGATGCTGCAGGAGGTCACAGCCCTGTGGCAGGGCGTCGCAGGGGGACCAGTTTCTCCTGAACCCCCCGGTCACCAGCCACCACCCCGGAGCTGGAGGCATGGTGCGGCCGCTCTCCCCGCCGCTCCTCACATCGGCATCAAGTAGCTCCTTCTCGCTGCAGCCCCCCGCCAGCTCCGGGGGGAAGATGGAGCAGCTCCGGTCCAGGCGGCCGCCGCTCCCCGGCCGCCCCGGGGCCACCGGCCGCCCACCCGCGCAGGGACGCGGCCGGGAGCACCTCGGGCAGGGGGACGGCCACGCCGCCCAGCAGCCTCATCAGGGCCGCCGGCTGCGCCGAGGGCTGGGCGTTAATGCCGAGCTGGTTCCGTGACACGTTCGTCCCCCGGGGCCGGGGACCGAAGCACGCTGGGCATGAAGGGTCCAGCCCGGGAGAACCGGCGGGGCCGGCCAGGGCTGATCCGCACCCCGGGGCTGACCCGCACCCCGGGGCTGACGCGCACCCCGGGACTGACCCGCACCCCGGGACCGACCCGCACCCCGGGACCGATCCGCACCCCGGGGCTGACGCGCACCCCGGGGCTGACCCGCACCCCGGGGCTGACGCGCACCCCGGGACTGACCCGCACCCCGGGGCTGACGCGCACCCCGGGACTGACCCGCACCCCGGGACTGACCCGCACCCCGGGACTGACGCGCACCCCGGGGCTGACCCGCACCCCGGGACTGACGCGCACCCCGGGGCTGACCCGCACCCCGGGACTGACCCGCACCCCGGGACTGACGCGCACCCCGGGACTGACCCGCACCCCGGGACTGACGCGCACCCCGGGGCTGACCCGCACCCCGGGGCTGACCCGCACCCCGGGACCGATCCGCACCCCGGGACCGATCCGCACCCCGGGACTGACCCGCACCCCGGGACTGACCCGGGCCGGGCCGGTGCCACGGGTCGAGGGGGAGGGCGAGGAGGCGGCGCTCAGCACCGGGAGGGCCCCGGTCTCGCGGGGGCCAGAGCGGGGGAGGTCTCCCCCGCACCGAGGGCTGGCACAGGGCGGCGCCGGGGGCGGTGGGGCCCGGGGTGCCGGTGCCGGGGTGCCGGGGTGCCGCAGTGCCGGGGTGCCGGGGTGCCACGGAGTCGGGGTGCCGGGGTACCGCGGTGTTGGGGGGCTGCGGTGTCGGGCTGTCGGGGTGCGAGGTGCCGGACTGTCGGGGTACCGCGGTGCCGGCCCCCCCCACCCGCCCGCAGAGGGGCCCCGGGCCGGCCCCGCCCTTCGCCGCCGTAGCCCCGCCCCCGCTGCCATGGCGACCAGCAGACAGCCTCCTCCCGCCCGCCCCCGCCGCGCGCCAGCGCCGCGGCTCTGTGGTGCCTCCCGCCGGCCAGAGAGGACGGGAGTGGCCTTTCCCTTCTCCGCTCTATGGTGCGCGATGCCCCGTCCCTCTCCCTGCGCCTTCCGGCCGGGCGCGGTGCCGGTCCCACAGCCCACGCGCTATCGCGACAGCCAGCCCCCACGTCGCGATTAATTCCGTTGAAAGGGCGGCAGCTCTACTTCCGGTGCTGGCTGCGGCCCCTTCCGCCCTGCAGCGCTGGGGCGTGTCTAGCCGCGGCGCCTCCCGCACTCTATGGTCCCCGCTGCTCCCAGGCTCCTCAGCGGCGGCGGCCGGAGCCGGGAGGAGCGGGGTGGCGGCGGCGGCGGCGGGCCGGGGCCTGCGCTCGGGCTACTCCCGCCCTGCCGGCGGCCTTCGCGGCGGCCATGGAGCTAGAGGTGCCCGAGGAGGCAGAAGGCTCGGCCGTGGCGGGTGCCGGTGCCATCACCCCGGAGGCCGGCGTGGGGGGACTGGATGCGGCAGGAGGTAACGCGCTGCGAGCACCGGGCGGCCAGCACCCCCGGCCGCGTCCCCCGGCCCGTTCCCCCGCCTGTCGCCGTCCCCGGCAGGGCCCACCGGAGTGTGCGCCCCCGTCTCCCGTCCCTCCTCGGGCCCAGAGTGGTTTAGCCCAGCTGCACACCCCCGGGAGGGGGTGGCGGTGTCTCAGTGGTACCTCCCGGCCGGTCCCCCCGCCTTGTGCCGTGTATCCCCCGGGGAAGGGCTCTCGGAGTGGTTCAGTCCAGCCACCCCCACCCCCCCCCCCCCCCGGAGTGTGCCATCCCCGGGGCACCGCGTGGCCCCGTCCAACTGCCGCTTCTCCCCACACCCCCCCCCCAGGGGCCCGGAATGGTTCCGCCCCCCCCGCGGCCGCCGCTCGGCCCCGGGCACTGGCGGGTCCCCCGCCCGCCCCGGGGGGTCCCGGCCCGGGGCTTGCTGCGGGGGGGGGGGCGCAGCCACCGGAGCAACGTGCGGGGCCGTGGCGGGCGCCGCGGCACCCCCGGGAGCGGGGTCACCCCGGCGGCGCAGCAGCCACCGCTTGTCCGGCTGGCGAAGGGGGGACCCCGCGCCGCGACACCCGCCGGCTCCTCTCCGGGGCCGGGCCGCCGGCGTTCTCCCTCCCCCGGCGGGGCCGCCGGGGCTGTGCGCTCGGTGCCTCGCTCCGGGGAGTTGCTGCGGCTCCCGGCGCTGCCTCCCGCAGGGTCCCCTCGGCGGCGGGAAGGCGGCGGCGCTGCCGAGACGGGGAGGGCTGTTCGTGAGGGGAGGGAGCGGGCCCGAGCCCGGCGACACCGGTGGCAGCATTAACAAAAGATTCCGGGTTCCTCGGTCGGCGGGATCGGATATGTGGGGCTGTGCGAGCGCACCTGTCTCCACCTTCGCTGCCTAATAATTTATAGCTCGTTAACAACCTCAAAATTGCTAGCTTTGCGCGTGGGCGTACAGCCCCGTTCTGTTGTTGGGTTGACATGTTCTTTTGTGGGCCTGACACAAAGCTCTGGAGTACCTGTCTGAGCCTGAAGCTTATTCAGAGCCTGCTGCGAGGTTAGATGGGTTCTGGTTGTGTTATGACAGCTATCTCCTTGTCTTCAGGCCTTTAAATGAGGATCGTTAGATCTTCTACAAAACCAACAAATTACAGCGGAAGCGGTGATTATTTCATGGATGTCATCTGCTGTGTCGAAGGGGCTGGATGTAATGTGTGCTTTTGGGTAAGGTGCTGAGATTTAGGCAAGTGGCAAGCTGCCCCTGGCCTTCCTGCTTCTGTTCCTCGGTGCTGCCAGGAAAATGGAGGGGCTGGCTGCATGCAGCTTGCCTTTCCTGAGGCCGCCCAAGGCGCTCCCCATCCACTGCTCAGACCTCTTTTTCAGGAGTATTCTCCCAGCACGGTGTGGTGTGGCTGGTGGACTTCCAGCTTGTGATGCTGAGGGAGCAAAAGAGAACCTCTTGCTGACGAACAATTAATACAGATTTTATTCTTCTGATCTCTCTGTCACCCTCCTGTTTTTTTGGGAGGGTAGATTGTTGTTGTTCAGGGCAAGACAAGGTGTTAGTGGAGACTGTTGCTCAAGAGGGCTTTAACCAGTTGTTTTTCATCCCTTCACAAGTAAATCTGAATTTACCAACCTGTATGCTGTCTTACCTTATGCTGATAGTAAAAAAGATGAAACAGAGCCAGTAATCTCACCAATGCTTTGATTTTTTCGAGTCAAGTTGCTTACTCCTCACTTGGGTAGCGTCCAAATTGTCACTCAGCCTCACTTGCAACTGGAGCTCCCGGGAGGGCTGGGGACAGTGTGCACAACAGCTAATGAGTATTTTCTGGAAGAGAACAAAACCTGGGGGGATCAGAGGTGGCCCTGGGGCTGTGCGCAGAGGCACAGCTATGCCCACACGTCGGGTGGGCTGCGCCGCAGGTCTTGGGTCAGGACTGCTGGCCGACGGAACACATCACTGTGCTCTCTGGTCCTTGTTGCAGCAGGTGCGAATACTGTATGTCAGACCGATGTGCCCAGGAGCAGAGGGGGCTTGTGCTGAACACTGTCCTGGTTTGTTGACTCTTTCAAAACTGATGGCAACAAACTCAATTTCGCATGCGCAGCACCGATGCCTTCGCTACTATTTGGAGCAGCAGTGGAGGTGGCGAAGTGCTCGTGACCCACCTATATAGATGCTTCATGCTGCTCACCTTAGTGCTTGTGCTGTTGGTGAAGGGTTACCTGTGTAGCTGAAATCTGCTCCCCAGCTCTTTGCCAGAGAGTGAGGATGGCTGTGTGCTGTGCTGTTACTAAACAAACGTGGCAGGATTAATCTAGACCATGGGTTGGATCAGCAAAGACCTTTTCCAGGTGCTCAGTAAATGTCAAGAGGGGAGCTGGTTAGTCTGGTACAGGAGTAAAACTGATTGGAGAAGAGGGGCTGAACCTCAGGGAAACCTTGATAGTAGGTTCACTTAAGGCATGGAGAGTCTTCTGAAGGGAGCTTTTGGTAGTCTCATAATAGCTTTGAGAGATAAAACCTCATTTAGTGCCAGCAGCTGGGCTCATGTGTGAACACACAGGTTCAATTCATCCCTTCTGAGAACCTTGCTTTGAGGTTTTTAGAAGTTTTGTAACCATTGTTGTTGAAAAGGGAGTTTCAAAATCTGATGGGTGTAAATGGCTTGATGGCTACTGTGCCTCCTCCCCTTGCCCTGGGCAGGGGCTGCAGGGAGTGTAAAGGACTGCTCGCTGGTTTTGGTGCAGATAGCAGAGCTTTTGGCAGGAGCATAGGCAGTGTGCAGAGACACCGTGTGCGTGTGAGGTGACAGGTGAGCACCGCATCATTCTGGCTGGAGTGCCCCGACTCCAGAAATGGTTGGGTGAGCAGAGGACACATTACCATCCTTCTACCTGGGTGCAGCCCGGGGACCTCTGTTTGGAAACCTCCTTTTACCCAAGGGGGCTCAAGTTATTGGAGAGCTGTTGGTATAAAATTGATTGCAAAGCTGGTTTCCACCATCTCCATGCAAAGGTGTAAATTCTTGGCCTGATGGGGAAGCAAAGTTGATGTCCCATTTATTTCCATTTTTCACCTCTGCTACATGGGTTGCAGTCTGCTCATCATTTATGGCTTAGAGCCTGGGCAGAAGCCTCCATCTTTTTCAGGGTTGAATTCCTCTGCTCTAGGGAGTTGAAATGATTTAACAAGTATTTATGCTCTTGTTCAACAGTTGTCTTACTGTACCCAGAGCTGGAGATAGCAAAGTGGAGATCCCTGGCCCCAGCCAGTGGTGCTGAGCGTGCTGGATGCTGGCAGCACCTGTAAGGCTGTCTGCAAAAAGCACTGGGAGCGTGTTGATTGCGACAGACAAAGAACGGTATTGCAGCCCTTCCCTCTTTGCAATGATAACTTTGAAGTGACTTTTGAAGGGTTGCTGGAAGCAATTTTTTGAGTGAGCAGATTAGAGATAAGAGAAGAATTCCACCCTGTGGGACACAAGCAGTTCAATCCATACCAACGTGATGGAGAGGGAAATTGGAGAGAGTTTATCAGCTTGAGGAAAAATCAAATGTAAACATCATCCACAGCATGATTATGGTTCACAGCTTAGCTGGATGTCACATGCCTCTTTCCCGTGAAATGGTGCTAGCGAAGATGATTACAGAGGGAGTCAGCTAGGCAAAAACAGACAGAAAAACACCCTGCGCCTTGAACTTTTAAAGACCCTGCAGTTACTTCACAGTCAATAAGTCACAGCGCAGCTGCAGGGAAGGAGGAAGGCAATGAAAATAGAATTCAGGCTGCTCTGGCAAATTAATTGTCCTTTAAGATATGAATTGGCTAGAAACAAATAGGGAAGCTGGGATTATGGGGCCCGGGAGCTGCAAAGGGCGATATGTGTACGGCCAGGAGGTCTGGGCACTGCCCTGAAGGATGCTGAGCCCGTCTGTATCGGTGTCAGGACAGGCTGGAGAATGAATCCCCAGGAACCCAGGACGAAGAATGATTAATCTAATTTTCATTAACTAGCATTTGGCTTTGACCTGTATATAATAGCCTGTTACACTGCTGCTGGATCCGTTGCTGGCAAATCTGCTGCCGCTGTGTCCCACTTGGGAAGGTCGCTGGGCCTCTCCAGAAGGGCTCCTCAGGGAATGACCTGAGTGGATTTAGTATGAGCAGTGCAAAAACGATTATTGAAGTGATTCACTGACATGACCGTTATGGGCCCTTGCCAGATGCACAATCTTATTAAATATGATTTTCCCATATAAGGTGGCTGCAGCCTGAAAAGCAGCAGCAGGAATTCCAGTGCTCACTTTCTTCATGAACACGTCTTTCAGTCACAACCAATTGAGTCCAGAAATAGGTCTGCCATAGCTGTGCGCTACCCTGACAAAGGCTCGGAGAGCCCTTCTCATTGCGTGCTGCTTATATCTCGGTCACATTTGATTATTCCCATCCATCTTTTTGGGCTGCCAAGCAGGTTCCTGTAGACCAGGATTAATCTATAGATGCCTGGCAGGTGCCTCACGCCCGACATGGATGCGGTACCCACGTGTTCTCTGGGACCTTACCGGCACAAGATCAGTTCCCATCTGTGCATACGAGAACTGCGGGCGTTATGTGGGTATAATTAACTTGCGACTCGCAAGTCAGAAAACATCACGTCTTTTGCACTGCACTGGGGAATGTCGGAAGCAGAGCTGGAGGGGGAAATGTTTGCTAATTCCCAGTGCAAGGAGGGTTTGGCTGTGTTTAGGCAGGAGTGACCTTCAGCAGGCTGGTTCACACGCTCTGCTCCCACCGGCAGCGCAGGGACAGAGCTACTGGTCATGTTGCTCGCCCGAGATGCTCCCTCTCATAGCTTGGCTGCAGGAAAGCAGGAGCCAAAGAAGTCCTGACCTCCCCGGATGGTCTGATCCCAAGGATGTGCCATCCCTGATCTCCCGTGCTGGGGGAGCTGCTGGCAGGAGCAGCAGGTATCAGAGCAGCCTGCTGGTTTTAAG